ACTAATACTGCTCACTATATGCTTACTCTTAACCATATCAGTGTTAATTGCAACAAAACCCCTCAAATCTTAGGCTTAATTTGTTTTTGAAGTTTTTTTTACGGTAATTTTCAAATAATTAAATAATAACCGCTCTATTAAAAAATACTATTTTTACATTTCTAATATATATATATATTTATATTTTTAATACAAAAAATACCAAAAACATTCATTGAAAAAACAAGATAAACATGGTCGTACTTTTTCAGGACGGATAGAGTGTTAAAATAAAAACATTGTCCCACCATAAACTATATTATGCCCGAAGTAGGAAAGCAAACATATTGATTAAAAAAAAAAAAAGAGAGAGAGAGAGAGAGAGAGAGAAACCTTAATGGAGACAGAAAGATGTCTAGTCAGCGTAACACCTCCAATTGGACAATGAGACAAGACTCATGAACACGTTAATCTCTCTCTATCTCTCTATATACATTGCTCACCCCCTAAATAGAATAACAGAGGATTACAAATCTGGACCGCCAAAAAGAGATAATGTTCCTTTTCACCCCCCTCAGAAGGTCATCATCTTCAATCCAATATACCACTATAATAATATAGATTGAGAATTTATTATATATATATTATGTACTTATATATATTTCTTTTGTAAAACAAAGTACAGAGAAGAAATAATGAAAATTGGAAGAGGGGATTTGACATATGCAAGAAATGGCAAGGGAATCTTTCCTTCTTTTTTTTGGGGAGGGGGAGTGGGGTACATCCTACTTTTGTCCTCTCAATCTTAAGGCCCTGTCAGCCTAAATATAGAGCATGATACAACCAAACAACAATAAGACCCTCCAACCTTAAAATCTTTCTTAGCTGTATGTAGTGTGTGTACTATTCTAGTACAGTTCAATGATAGTGAGATTCATTTCTTTGATGGTGGGTTTGATTATGATGTATCAAGTACAAATTTCATGCACCCCATCTTTTTTTTTTGTCAAATCTTTCAATATCATCTACTTCTTGTTTGTACATTCTCTACTAGCTTTATATTACTTGCAGAGATGTAGTACAACTACATCTCTTAGTGATAATAAACTCTTATTCAGTTATTTGTGAATGAAAACGCAGTATTATATTGATGGTAAATCTCTAAATAGTAAATACGCCTTTTAAAGTATATGGATTGAATTTTTTGGCCAGCTGTTTCATCTATCGAGTTGTTTACAATTTAGCGAGAGAAATTAGTTACTGTTGTCGACGGTGGACACAAATATGAAAAAAAAAAAAAAAGAATTGAATTCTTCTAATAGTACGAGGAATGGTTGATAGGTTCTTTTCCTTTTTTTTGGGGGGGGGGGTATTTAAAGGTTTATAGGTATTTCGATCATAATTATTTGTATGCACACGAGATGTTCTGAATAAAAATATATTACTCAGTTTAATCCATTTTTGATTTTTGGCGAAGCCTTCCCTTTAGATGTTGTGATTCGTTAATCGAACAAGATTGAAGTTTTACATATTCCAATTAAAAACTTTCCGATCTTTATCTATGATGTATAAATTAATTAATTTTAAGTTATGTTATAAATAAAAATGATATATTATATGCTAGTAAGGTTATGAGTAAATCTTTTAAAGGTTTACGGATCGAAATCTTAGTATATGTGGGTTTTCTACTTCTATAAGTGATTTTTTTTTTAAAAAAAAAGGAAAAAGGTTAAATGAGATATCAAGTAAATATGATAAAATTTTTTACTTTTTCAACTGTGAATATCCCTTTTTTTTAAAAAAAATTAAAATAATTTACATATTGTTTTTTTTGTTTTGAAATGGAATTTACATATTGTGGGGGTTGAGGATAGTGACCACAAAAGCAAAAAAGTGGACCAAAAAGCAAGTGGGTTGAGTGAAGTATAAAATAATTGAGGAAGAAGCGTTTTAGTGGAGCAAACACACACGTAGGGTTTTGTCAAATTATTTTTTTATTCACAAAAAATCTTAGGATTATTAAAGGGAATACTATAATATATAATAATGTTTTACTAGAAAACTTAGTATTAAAATAATATAATAAACATATGATCAAAGAGAGAGTAGTAGCAGTAGTTTAAACAAAAAAGAAAAAGTCAGAGAAGCATATATATGGGGATTATGGACGTTGTACTTGTCGGCAGGGGTACGAGGTTTTTTACCTGCCTTTCCCGACTGACGTGGCCGCTTCCGCTCCTTTCGTATCCAAACTTTTCACTCGTACTTTTCCTTTATTTCCCACCTTATCCTTCCTTTCCTTCTTCATACTTCATCTTCGTACTTTTTTTTTTTTTTTATAATTTTTTGTAATCATCTTTTTTTAACATAAATTGAATTTACTACAAACGTGAAAGGTGTAGTATTGAGACTGTCAAATTATTATTTTCATTTTAGAAAATGAATTACGTGATGAAATATTGAAAATTTTGTAAAGTAACTAATGAAATCGACCTTACACATTGCAAAGCGGTGATAACTTATTAAAAGTTTCATTAAGTGAGGTATAATATTGATGCTTGGAACATACATCTGTGTTTAAGCATATGCATTAAGACAAGATTTGGTTCTTTTTTTAACAAGTGGGAGTCATGTAAATTTCCTTAATTGCTACTTGCTAGCATGGGGCAGAAGTTCATATTTATTCTTTTTCTTTAGGAAGCAGTCATTTCATTTAGTTTAAATGTTAATATTTTTTTTTAATAAAGAACAATAGCGATATATCCTTTACTTGTCCTAAAATTATTGTTCAATTAAAATTTTTATTTTTAGCTAAATTTATAATAAAAAATTCAAACTAAATAATAATTTCAGAAGAGTACAGAGTGATTGTAACTTGAGTGGTGATCCCCCAACTTCTTTTTCTTGTTTCTCTTGTTATGACAAACATGTTAAGGATGGAGGAGAAAGACAAATGGAAAAAGGGTGTGAGCATGAGGACAAGCAGAGAAATCTGGTCCTCTCCAAGAATACTAATTGCTATGGCACACACAAGAGAAAACTCAACAAAAGTGATTGAGATTTTCATGGAGGAAGGGGATAGTGTATGTGTGGAGGGGGTATTCACACTTCATCTGAACTAGAGTTTGACATTTTATATACTTATATTCTCCATGAAAATAACGCTTCAATAAGGATTGGGGAATTCTTTGGAACACTTATGTGAGTGCTAAAAAAGTCTTCGATAGATATTAGTGAGAGGAAATGGTAAAAAAGAGTCGTCTATGGATATTTAGCGGACATCAAATCCGTGACCACTATTATTATTATTATAGTATATGATTGCTCACTCACCTTTGTATTATTGTTTGTTCGTTATTAAATGGTTATAAAAAAAAAATCTGAAAGAGATGGGGGCATAATTGAGAATGCAAAATTTTTGTAAGGGTTTGTTGAACAAGATAAAAACAGCATATATTTAAATGGTATTGGTGGTCCATTATTAAAAGATTCAGCGTCACCTTAAATCATAGAACAAATTTCAAAGTAGGAAAAAAAAAAAAAAAAAGAAGAAGAAGAATAAGCATTTGGTGCTGCCCTAAAGAATTGGTTCTGTTTGCCCTTTTCTTTCTTCCTTTCTATTTATGATTGACTACTTCATTTGTGTTTGTTACTCCAAGACTGAAATTGAATCATTCCAATTCGACTGTTGCTTCGACATAAAAGATTGGAATGATTGATACTGTTAAATATGTTGCTTATCCTTGAGTGTAATCCACTTAGGTTTCCATTTCATGTATCAATATATATATATATATATATATATATTGAGCATTGAATCATAAAAGGTGGATTAATTAGAAGTTTGAAGAGTTATTGCATATTTACAATTGACGGAAATCAAATGCATATCTTGCATTGAAGTTGTGAATGTCCTAATCACGTGAGTTACAAAAAACGTACTTCCTTTCAAAATTATGTCCAATTTGAGATTTCACTTTTAGTATATTTTGAACTAAAAATGAAAAGTTAAACTGGATAATAATTACGAGACAGGGAGTATTTCTGTGCATCATTGCAGACTTTGTGGAGGTACCAAAGTAGTACCAACTGTAAACCAACTAACAAAAGGATTGGAAACAAGGTGGTGGGGCTGTCGTTGTTTACATTGCGGCACGCAATCGGCAATCCACAAATGGAGGAAAGAAAGCGCATAATAGTATTAAGGCGTTTTGATGTTTTCTTCTCTTGGACACACAACACATATTCTAGGTCTTGTATCATCATATATATTATATTACTATAATATAATGTTGTTATTGGGAGAGAACCAGATACTTTGGTCAATTTACAACACTTTTCTGGACTCTACTACTTCATCACCAATCATCAGTATTTATATAGATTAAAAAATTGGTTCGTATGCGATTTTGTAAGATTCAAAATAAGCAACTAACAGATTACCCTCTTTAACTTTTACCTAAATCTGATTCGCTGCGCCACCTTTTTTTACTTGTCCTTCAGACGACTGACACATATTCAACGCTTTTCTTTCGGTTCAGATTTTCCATATTTGGGCCAAATACTATGACTTCCGGCCCTGCACAAACCAGAGTTGCAAACTTGCCATCTTACTACCATTTAACATTGACAAATGCAATACGATTGATCTCCGACAAGCAGGCATAGTTTTATCCTTGCATTTATACAGAAGTAATCAGGCACATTAAACGGAAAAAGTTCAAAAAAAAAAAAAGGAGAAAAAAGGCTCCCCAACATATTCCACGAAGAGGAGAGTAATAACCTATCTTAAAGATGGGTTTCTCGATGCTAAAAGACCCTAAAATGAACCTAATACTAAGTTATCTACAAGGGCTCGTCGGGAGCAAGGAACATCTACTCCACTTGCTAAATGAAACTGAACGAGATCATTATGTCCGGATGTTTCCCTCAGTGCCGTGAGGCTGGTAGGAACATGACAAATGCACCAGAGATCGAGTCTTCCACCGGTTAATGCATTGTTATCCATAAGTATACATTTCTTATCTTCTTCTGCTGTAATATATACCTCCACCAGAATGATGCAGATGATGATGTTGTTGCCTATGACGTGATCCACTAGCCCTACCATGCCCATCCCATGCATGGCCCCTGCCGGCAACTCTACTTCCGCCGCTTTGAACCCAGCTTGCTGGCACTGATCCCATGCCATTGAGCTCCTCTTCTTCTCTGTCATTGTATTCCAAAACAAGGCGTTTGATGTCTTGTTTCTCTTCAAGCTCAGCTGCTTCCTTTTGTTTTGTGCTCTGCACTAGGGAACAATCTCTGGGAATGTACATGTGCTTCATTTGTTGCTTGTGACCCCGTTTCACCAAAACCTTCACTTGAACCTCCTTGTTTCCTTCTGGTGCAATATCTGTTGTTTCATCACCACTTTCCCCTTCTGTATACCTTCCCGAGTGATCTTTGGCAGACCCCTCCAACATATTTATGGGTATAGTCATGTTAAGGGCAGGTCGGGCTCGCAGCTCGAGTTTTCGGGAATCCAAGCTCTCCTAAATATAGTTTATGACATGTCAAAACCAAATCATAAAAGAAAATCAACGAATCCTGGGCGCATGCATATATGGAGAAAAAGAGTCGGATCAGCAAAGAGCCAACAGTCAATCAGCTTCGAGCACTGATTGAGCAATGAATTGCCAGCAGATCATGCAACCAAACACGCAGAATCTCCTAAGGATGATACATCGACAGAGAATTTTGTGAAATTTACCTGCATCAGAGCCCGAAGTTCTTTATCAAATTCAGCTTCCTCCTGTGGATCAACATGGGTAGCAACTTGCCTAACGCGAACCTCGTCCTCTTCATCAGAAGCAGGAGGAGCTAAGTCGTCGTAATCCTCCTCACTCTCACTTTCTTCATCATGATCCCCCTCATCTGTATCTTCGTCATTACTGGTTCCAATTCCCGAATCGCTCTCAGTGACTCCACCGATCTCATCGTGCAATTCACCATTTTCCTCAACGCCATTTGCATGGCCTTGTCCGTTAACAGACACTACACCAGACTTGGCCCTGCTAGGGGTCTTTTCTGCATCTGAGTGTTTGTCGTAGTTAGCCTTTTCAGTTGCAACAAAACGCTCATGCTCCTCAAGTTCAACCAAAGCAGCATTAACTTCTTCAATTGAGGAATATCGAGTCATGTTGGGGCGCAGTTCAGCAAATAAGTCCTGAAGCAGCATAAGTTTGTAAGTTGACCATCATGAGGAAAACCGAAGAAGTAAAATTTAGTCAGTGTATCTTCAGTGAGAAGATACAATAATGAATTCCACAAGGACAAATCCTTTGTCCCAGAAAAGGAGCGAAAAAGCCATAACTGAAGTAACTTGCAAATGAAAATACAACAAACAGAGCTGATCAATGTGGTTTGTCTACATGGAGTAACATCAGAAAAACAACCATAGGAAAAACATCAGAAACTAACCTGCAAATCAAACTCAACATCCAGAGGTACTGCACCTTTACATAGTATGTATCTCTGGAAATGAATCAGGAATCTGTCAAGCTTCCTCTTGGATGAGCCTCGATCAAAGTAATGACCGCAGGTTTCAAGAAGTGTAACAACCATCCTAATGCGGAAAAAATCCTCTGGTGGATCCAACACATCTTGCTAAAAAGGCAGAAAATTATTTATTAGATTTAAATATCAAAAGATGAATTTCTAAGTAAGATGTCACAGTATAAGAAAAAAACTCAAGCTACAAGGTGATAATAACCACAAAATGAAAATTAACAAAGGCAAGTTCAATAGGCACAAAGGAACTAAGGCACCAAACGTGCTATAAATTTCCTGAGATCCGAGTAAGAAAGAAGGCTAACATAAAAACAGCATATATAAATAATGGGCAATGTCAATGGATTCCAAGGAAATGTACAAGGCAATAACTAGATCGATAGGCAAAAAATAAAGTAAGAAAACGTGGAAAAGAAGTTTCACTACAAACCAAACATTCACAATCTTCAGATAACCAAACAAAACAGAGATGAATACACTCATTCCACACATAAATAAACATGTTGATTAGGTGGAGTAAGCACTTCAGGGGTTTTTAAGATGGCAAATGACAATCAAGCTGATAGTGCGATAAGTACAGAAACTAAAGTCTAAGGTTTGAACTCCAACAGAATGCACATCTACCTGAAGTGTGTGCTACATGAGTATCACAAAAATCCAAATCCAACAATATACCATTTTACAATAGTATGGTTAAAATATGTTCGGAATGGCAGTGCTAAACATCAAATATACACATTATTGAATGAAGTTACAGAATGTATAACATAATACAGCACCGACCATGTCATCAAAACATGATCCAATGATTTCTATTACCCAAACTCTAATGCCCATGATAAAGTTTTTGACTGGGAAAGTGACAGAAAAATTTGTTACCTCCGCAGTTCCATGACCAAAACTCAAAATCAAGTTTAGAGTATCGAAAATAACAGATGAATCAACGAGCTCATAGTTATACAATTCTCCCAAGAAACGCATGTGGGCAACACGCCTTTGCTGCATTCCATAATCATTCAACTCTAATCCAAGCCTTATTTCTTCCAAAACCTGAGAGAAACCAAGCATTCAGTTAAATTAACCTCAAAAGTATGACCATTCTATGACTTCAACCAAGGATAATCCAATAAGCAGAAAAGAATAAAAGATGCAAAAACAACAGAAAACAAAATCTGGTAAAAGTCTTAAATCACAATACATTTTAGGAAGAGTATTGAATCACATAAAAAAATAATTATTTAACGAAAGGAGCATTTGTTCAGTAACGTTTTATTGGAAAGGACTGTCCCAAAAATTCAGGAGAAACTAGATGGTCTATACAGAAGCAAAATAGATCAAGTAAGGGATCCACTACTCGTGCAAAATATAGCAATGCTTAGTCACAAATGAACAACTTTAAAGAAAACTTTTCAACAACTGAGATGCGTCAGATAACTCCAACAGCTAGACAGAAAGCCATGAATATCTTCAGCCGTCTTTGAAGAAATTCTGAATCGTCGAATTTTATGTATTTTAATCTTCAAAAAGCGGAAACTATATTAACACGATGTTCTGGTCATTTCGAGTCAGTGTCATGTTGAAGGTGAATAAGATACTTGTTACTGCTAATTACACCAAGCTAGTGTTTTCTTATTCAGATACCATCACTGAAGAAAGACTCAATGCTACAGAGGCCAAATATAGTAGTTTTGAATACACATAAAACACACTTTAGAACAAACCTCATCAATAACTGCAACAGAAAAGTCTTCATGATAGCGACTTAAGCCAGCAGTGAGTGATGCAATCAGGTGAATCTGACCAAACTTTCCCTTGTGAATCTTCATAAAGCACTTTAATAGGTACTGCTGACATTCGCTCCAAGGTAGTTTCCGGAGCTGTCTCAGTACATGCTCAATTGAAGATTTATCAAGATCAGAGAAAAGCAGTTTTCTGATGTACTGCAAAGTGTAAGGTAAAAAAGATCAAAATTGGTTATCCAAATAATGTGGGTTGGGAAAGAAGAAGATAAGAAATATGGGTGGCACCTGATGCAGGGGAGGACGAACTTTAGAGACACGAGCAGATCTTTCTGGTGGCTTACACAAGTAATATGCATTCTCCACCAATGTGCTGTGGCGAGGATCCAAATTCTTGACATTTTTCAAGCGCATCAGTATCTCCAACATGTTCGCCATGCGTACAGTAGTCTCAGGAGAGCGGTAAAGGAAACGGCCACATGTCTCAAGAAGATTGCATGCAACATCAATGTTATGGTGACTGAACTCATCTAAACAAGCCTAATCAACAAAGGGTGAAACTCTGTCAGCAAAGGTTATCACATACAGAAAGAAGTATTACTAATAAACAATATACCATAAATTTGGGCAAGTAATCTCCAAGAGCATTACTTCAAACAATTAGTAACTTCATCAATCAACATCAACCAAGTATATTCCCAAACAAGTGGGGGTGTATGCAGCCGTACCCTTGTAATAATACAAAGAGGTGGTTTCCATAGCGACCCAAGATACAAACAATGGGTAACTTGTTAAAATATTGCGAAATAATGATTCATCTCCCCGGGGAAACACCAGGGAAATGAAGCACCAGTTAACAATTCCCGGAAATCGAATAGAACTTCCAACTTAAAAATCATGGGAGGCATGTGTGCTCCTCCCTTATCCCGGTCGTTGAGCTAATTTATGTCACTCCATCCTCATTGTACATTCAACTAAGCACATGCATTCACCCAGGTCCAGCAAACAAAATTTTAATAAAACTAAAGCAGAGAGCAGTAAAAGTATTCGTGATGTCTACCTTGAGGCAGCTGAAAACAAGCCCCGGCGATGCAATTTTGAATTTGCAGAGTTCTCCAATAAACCTGATATTCCTGATTTTTGTTTCAATGTTCATTTGATCCTACAGAATAACAATGGGCGAAACATCACGAACACGTATCAAAACAGTCATCACGAATTAAATGTAAATGTTAAATCATTTCAAGCAGAAAATGTTACGTTGCTAGACCTTCTTATTGATCAAAAAATTGAATTCTTCCTCCAATAACTGTAAAAGCATAGATGATACATCCTTCATGCATGTTGACAGTGTAGCAACCATGCGAGAATAGTACGGCAACAACTCTAATGACGTTCTAGGCACATTAAACAAGGTCCTCACAAGCTTCTTTCTGCTAGATTTTGAATTTAAATAGCAAAATTCTACCTGAAAGAAATCATCAGATGCCAACAAGCAAGTATCAAGAAAATCAGAATGAATGTTCTGGATATGATAAGGAATTATCAGAAAATCAAGAAAATCAATGATAATTACAGTCAATTGATCAATCAAGTCACGGCTGACGCAACCGGGGAGCCTCTGCAGTAGAGCATCCAGATTCGCTCCTTCAACACCTTTAACCTTCTCCTTTTCACTTTCTCCTTTCTTTTCAGTCTCCTTTTCTTTCCCTCTCTCTTTATCTGATTCTTTGCTTTTATCTTTATCTTTTTCATCTCTGTCCTTTAATTTCTCACTTTTATCCTCCTGGGAAGATCCAGAATCTAAAGAAACCTCCAGCAGGTCCTGTGCTATCAGACCACTGTCCGCTTCCGCAACTGCGTCCTGAAATGTGTTCATGGTGAGTGGATGAACTCCTCAAGGGAACAGATATTATTGCTTCAGCAGATTAAACATAGGAAACAAGAGAAAAACTAAGCAAAATACGGTAAGATGTCCTTTCTCATGTCCATAACAAAAGATTCCTTTTTTTCTAAGCAATCAAGAAGAATTATGCAAGCGTCTCAAAATAAAATCTTAATCATCACCAATGATAAAAGCTCTAGGAAGGGTATTCCATGTCCCTACAACAAGAACCTTCTGTTACTTTCACCTCGTAACTGCAAAAAAATGTTTTTGATTTGACAGCCATTTAACTTAATGGCTGAAGCATCCATAAATAGAAAATAAATTACCAAGCGAAAAGCAGTAAAATTGCATCATAATTAGCCTCATATGCACTAGTTTATTAGCCTCATATCAGGAAAATTGCCAAAGGCCAAACAAATTTTTTTTTCTCTTTGGGAAAAATGTCATCAAAACTCTTTCTTACATTTGGTTGGTCTTGTGATTTGGGAGATTGCTCAGTCACTTTTGGTTCTACTTCTCCCAACAAAACAGCAGGAACAAATGCTCTGAAAGAAGAAAAAAATAATTAAAACCATTATCTGTTTGTGAAAAAATAAAGACATTCTAAACCTAAGTATTTGGGGGGTGGCGTTGTGGGAAGACCTGAGATCTGGTAGGCCCTCATAGAATGCCCGAGTGTCTTCATCGTCCCATAAAGCTTCAAGTACAGAACTATCTTTACTGGAACTCGGAGATGATAAATCCTCTGTAGTCATCCTGGTCGTATGGCCATCCTCAGGCATTACAGGAGGTTGCATATCCAGCGCCTCAGCCAAACTTCAGCCAAAAGTTTAAACAAAAAAACAAAAAAAAAATTAACCAACTTATAAAATTTTAAATAGCTTAAACATTCCACTTAAAGAAGCTTAAAATACTTCACAGATGTCTAATCCACCTTCCAAACCTCTCGTATCTGAAACTCATAAAGGTCAAGCTAGGAATTCCATTAAAGACCAGTTACAATCGCACGACATTACCCTACTATCAAAACATTTGAGGTTTTCCACAATAGTTCTAAGGCAGTAGCACAAATTAGCTAGTTTCCCTCTTTAAAAGCTGGACTGCAAGATGAATACACAGACCGGTATACTTGACAGCCCAAAAGTCAAGACATCTAAGCTCAGATATACTATTATATTAAGAGCTCTTTAAACTATCATTCATTCCTTTCCCCCAAATTTAATTTGTATTTTACCCCTGCTCATCAATAGATCTACTATCAATACCTTGAATAAAGAATGGCTTCAGAAGACAAGGACTTACGCAGTGATGCCGCGGTACAGATGGTCAAATGATTTTCGCAGCTTTTCATATGAGGAAGCATTCTCCTCACTGAGTTCACCTTTCGCATTCAAGATCTTCGCATTCTCACGCTCCATTTGGCGAAGTGACTTCAAATTGTGGTGAATTCCATCAGTCACAACAATCCAAAAAAGTTATAAATGAAAAGATGAGATGTTTCACCCACATAAACATGCCCTTCAAGCGATGAACATCGGCATTAAAACATACAGGTGTATACCCACAACTGATATAAAATAAACGGGACAGCACGGTGCATAGAAGCTTCCCCACATAATTGGCACATGGATAAATTTCACACAAGACTACTTCACACTCCTCTAAGAAGCTTGCCCGTGACCTAAAGTCACGTGACCACAGCTCTTAATTGCCCCAAGGCTCCCATCAAGATTGAAATCAAATATCATTTTAAATTGAAAATGAAGAGTTAGCGTTCTTACAGCATGCTCTGTTTGTAGTAGTTCCAAGGTGGCATCATAGTACATCTGAAAGGCCTTTCTGAAGAACTTTTTCTGCTCTGCGGTTACACTAAGACTCTTGAAGAACTGCATAAAAGGGTAAAAGACAGTCTCAGAAAAACGTTTCGAGAAGGATCACTCTATTATTTTCCAAACAAAAGTTACCATTATCAACAAAGATGTGAGTGGTAATTAAAAGGACCAAAAAAATGTTCTGAACACAATAAAAAAACAATGTGTTAGAGAAGTTTCCAAAACTGATCTGCAACATGAAAATAAAGTTACAGCCTCCACATTCCCATTGCAATAAACAGCAGAACAAAAGAAGCAACGGTTAGATGGAGTACATGGAGATCATGACAACATGCAGATTCTCTCCAAGTAGAGGTCTTAATTTTTATACAAATAGGCGTAAATATTTTATGGATCCAAACAAGTAACTCAGCGAAAACAAAATATGAATGGCAAACAAAAACACGGCGTGCAGAGTGCACATCATGAAACAGAATTCATAAGTGAAGGGAATGAAGCACTACATCGTAAAGGAGAGGCAAAGAAGTAAAACCTCTTCAAGAAATTCTTGTCCAGTCAGTGAAAGACCAAGAAGATATCTCCCTTGACGAGCAAAACTAGAAAGCAGGGACAGATTCGTCTGAGTTGTATCGCGGTCCCTTAGATGATCTAAGTTAGTGAGGTCTTTTATAATAGTAACAAATATGCCACAATCATCGAAAACCCCAACGAAATACAGCTCCAGAAGAAGTTTTAAAGTACTACGCTTCTTCATAGCTTTTGAATTCCTGTCTGCTTCTGGGTCTTCAGCAGATTTCCCAGGTAAAAAGACCTTCATCAGACCTTGAACAAGACTTGGAGAGAATTCTTTGTACCTTTGATGAAGAACAGAACAGATCTGCAGTGCGGAAAGAAACTCAACAGATTAAGAAGTAAACAACATTTACTCAATTTGTAAGAAAGCTCACATAATAAAAGTTCAGCAGATAATTGCAGGTGGTAGTAGATGGACATAATGTCCAGAAGCATCATTATATTCACCCAGGCCAAACAATCTACCTCAATGTTATTTCCAAATCATACAGGATTTGAAAACTTATACCTTCTTATCCTAGTACAGCACATCCAGAGCAGTGATACTCTTAAAGAAACCAGCCAGAAAAGCACACCCAATGATTGGATATGTTAATGCAAGCACAAAATTACCAACTTCTAGAAAGTTCAACATGAAAAAGACGGGGGACAGTGAAATGAAAAGGGACAATAATACACTTTCATCTATCACATGCCATTCCTAAGTCTGTCCACTATATGGTTTCACTAACCATATCATTACTTATTAATCAATTTCTACCAGATAGTATTATTTCCTGTCCTTGTGATAATTATCCCTCTGATCAACAACTTACCTGTCTTAAATTGAATATCCTAAATAACATAAAGAGTTGAATATATCCTCAATATACTGAAGCTGTGTTGGGCTTGCAGTCATCAGAATGGTTTGAAATTACCTGCACAGCCGCTTGAATATCTGCAGATTTAAGCTTCGCATCACAAATACCAGTCACAGCTTCGCTGACAAATTTGCTTAAATTTACACTGCGCAGATCTTCCATCAATCCGTCTTTTTGCTCTTCGTTAATTTGCTTAAGTTTCTTGATGACAGCTGTATTACGCTTTATGCTTGAATCCAAGGTCCTGAGAAACCCAGAGTCTGGAAGGACAAGTCAATATAAACATCTGTTACCATATGAATCCTTACATTATAAAAAAAATACCAACAAATCAGGGAAAATCATATCAGACGGATCAAAATCAAAGTAACCATTAGCGCACAGAGACAATTCAATAAAAAGAAAAGGAAAAATAAAAATTAGGCTGACAGAAAGATGCCATATCTACCCAAATTTAATCCCCTTAGCTTTTTTGTTCAATTTTCAGAATTCAGATCACAAAGCAAATCAGTCACAATCCATAAAATTAACAAATATCACTTACATTTTAAAGACAGAATAAGTAATATGTTCAACAAATCATGTAATACAAGCGCAACTAAACAAGCAAATCTGGGTGCTTCTTGTGTCGGTACATTGAAAATATCCACCGATTCCTTAATTGAACCAACAAGTAAAGCAAAGTAAAAAAAAAATTAAAGACGGCCTGCCAACCAACAGCACTTCATCCATTAAGACCGACGGAATATTGCCCACTAATCATCTGCCAAATGTAGCAAACATGGTACTGGAGGAGTAAATGAAATTTTATATCGACTATAAACCGATTAAACAGACAACACCAATTTACCAGGTCTTTCAGGGTTCAGGTTACTCTGTCGAAGAGCCAACTTGGCTTCCATAGACTTCTTAAATTCCTCCAAACGAGCAACAGATTCCTGCACAAAAAATATTTTCACCTCATGTAAACAAAAAGTCCTCTTTAGAAGATTAATCTCAGTATTACACAGCTCATCCAAAAATATTCTCGATCTTTTCCATTTCGTTGATGGTGCGGATGCATAATTTGAGTCCACGGGTGACCCAAAACAACAAAATCGAAGCCATGGAAAAGGTAAGAGTAGATTGCCCATTTTTCTAGTAGAACAACACTCTCAATAGAGTTTAACTAAGAAAGGCGTATAGAGAAAACTCAAAACCACATAAGATCACCTCATCATCATGTTTCTCGTGATGTTCACCTCCACCACCTCGAGCCTCATCCTCAGGATGCTCCATCATCCTGTTCATAGTTGCACACATTATAGCATTACAATGTCAGATTAAACCGAAAATTAAATTGCAAATTGCAAACAATTTCATCATAAACCAATGAAAGGTTCTCCCGGCATAGAGGAAAAATCTTAACCCCACTAATGACCAAGGAAAACGGACATCTTCTAATAATCCCTCCACAGTTCAAAGCAATTAAGTTCCACTAACCAACATAAAGGTTAACATTTCGACAGTTAAAATCGAAGTTCTAAAGCATATTAATTCTTGGCATCATGACACAGCAACATGAAATTGACCGAAATTTCGTAGAACAAGGACTGAGATTTAAGAGGGGAAACACAAAGGATATAGAATTAGGGTAGCGTTTAATACCGTCTGGTGTTCGATCGGAAGAGTCTGCCGGACAATTAGTGATTATTCGCCGACGCCGGAGTTAAATTTTATGGACGTCCAGGTAGGAAATCTTCTCTTACTCCTCTTCGGTTAAAAAAACGTTCAATTTGGAGCGAAGTCGTTTTTCGCGTAGTTCAGTCCCTTATTTCCGGGGGAAGAACTTCAGGAATGTAGACATAACATACTGTATTACTAGTATATTTTCAAATTTAACTTTTCAAAAAAAAAAAAAAAGGGACCAATTTTTTTACGGAGTACAGTATTTTTTTAAAACTAAGCTTTAGTACAGTTATTAACAAGAGTGAACTTCAAAACAAGTCATCAACCTTTAATATATCTTTATTCTAAGTCATCAATTAAATTTATTTGTAATACAAGTTATCTTACTAAAGTTTTAATCCATTTCAGATTATTCTGTTAATTTTGGCCGTTTAATAGTGACGGAAATCCATTTTTCACATGTTTTTGGATTCAGAGATATTTTTGTCATTTTCTCCTTTTTTTTTAATCTTTTAATTTGTTTTTTTTTTTTTACAATTCTTCTTCTTATATTTCCTAACTTGTATATACTGGTAATATAATTCTAAATTTTAAAAATTTATTTTTCTTTTGTATTTTAACTTCTAGATTCTAAAGTTTTTTTTAAAAAAAAATTCAGAAATGAAGAAGAAAAATTCGAGTTAAATTAAACATAAAAATAAATAATTTACAATTTAAAAAAATTAAAATAATTAGCTAAGATAAGTTGTTTCTTCTAGGTTATTTAATTTTTTTCAACTCGATTGAATTATTTAATTATTAATTTTCACGTTTCTTATTCTTTTTTTTTAATAATATACAAGTTAATATACAAATGACAAATTAATTTTCAAAAATGAATTTGTTTGTCATTTGTATCTTAACTTCTAGATTATAAAAAAAAAAAAGAAACGTGAAAATTAATAATGAAATAATTCAATCGAGTTGAAAAAAAATTAAATAGCCTAGAAGAAACAACTTGTCTTAGCTAATTCTTTTAGTTTTTCTTTTTATTTAAAATGGTAAATTATTAATTTTCATGTTTACTTTAACTCGAATTTTTCTTCTTCATTTCTTAAATTTTTTTTTAAAAAAATTATAATCTAGAAGTTAAAATACAAAAGGAAAATAAATTTTTAAAATTTAGAATTATACTACCAGTGTATACAAGTTAGGAACTATAAGAAGAAGAATTGTAAGAAGCAAATCAATATCCTCTAAATTCTCGGGGGAGTTAATCTAGTTGATGAACCACTGGAGGAGTGATTCTGCATTGCCACTCAGGATTGATTGAAACTTAGGGTAAGTAAAACTCCAAATAGCTTGTGAGATTGAACAATGGAAAAAAAGATGAAGATCATTTTCCGTTTTTGTGAAGCACCTTGGGCATCTAGAATCCACATCCACTCCTCTTTTCAGTAAACTTTCTCTTAAGGGTAATACATTCAAGACAGCTCTCGCACCGCCATGACTGTACTTTTAAAAACTTGACCCCCTCCGGGTTGAAATGAAAAATGAGTTGGAGAAGAAGAAGTACATATTTCTTTTTTATTTTCTCTAGTTGGGCTGTTTACTTTATAAATAACGGTCCATTTTGGCATTGCATATTATAGGTGATTCTTTTCTTACCAATGAAATTGCTAAGTTTAGGATGTAGTGTTTTATTTGAAATTTTCTTTCTCTGGCAGATTCCTGGTTGAATGACGTCCAGGAAATTTTGATTTCGAAAAGGGAGTTTAAGCTTGAACATACCGTCAGGGATAATAATTTTTGTGCTGATTTACCAGCCAAATCAGCCTTAGAACTTAGTCTAGATGATGGACTCTTATTTTGTGATAGAGTCCCTAATAGTATTAGATTGTTAATAGTTAAAGATGCGCAAGTAATTTTATTGGTAGGATTATAACTACGTATGTTGTTGTATTTCACACACAAAAAAAAATCTTTTCTTTTTTTTTTAGTACATAAACGCATGCCAAAATCATTGGAGATTAATAGTCTAGAAATTGTTCAGGATACAATGATTGTCAGAATCATTGGAGATCAAGGCCGGAAATATTTCAGTCAAGATTCTTTTTTTATTATTAAGTTGAGATGAATTAGTATACATAATTTAAGATAAATAGTAAACAAAAAGTAATAAATATTTTATCATTTAAATTAAGTTAAATAGTAAAAATAAAATATTAATTAATTTACCATTTAATTTTATTGTGAAAACTATTAGTATGCTAATTGAATGACACGTGTTTTGGGATTAAAATTCCTTTCATATATACTAATATTTACCCCACACGTTGTGCGGGTTAATCAAGATATATATGAGTTTCATAATTTAAAAATTATACCACATCTTCGAATGATTGATATATGTATAAAAAATAATATTAATGATATAAATTGTAATTGTATAATTTTTAATGTCAATGTGTTTTGTAGTTTGATTACATTTGGAATAAATTTTAAAATTCGAAATCATTCAACATAACTATTCCATCTTCATAATTTTGTTGATTTATGGCACTATATCTTTTAAAAGTGTTGTCTTTATTTTTTATAATGATCTCTCTAAATATTTCTACTCGTATCATATGTTTTAAACTCTCATCTAACATAAAATTTTCTCATTATTTCTTTCCATACACTTATCTTTATTTTCCATCTCTGTAAATATCTTTTGCAATTTTTGTTTAGAAGTTTGTTCGTATATTTTTCTATAATATAGTACTTACATCGTTTTTTTTTAATTGCATAGTCTTCGCTTTTTGGTTTTCTAAATTTGATGATCTCTCTTTAAAGCTTCATTTCTTGTAAAATTTTTACTAAATTATTTCATTTTTCACTATTATCTCATTTTTTTTTCATATTTTCTTACTCTCTACATAATTTTTCCTCCAAAACATTATTTTCAGTTATATGTGAGCTTAATGAGTCATTTCTGACGGAGTGATACATGAAAAGAAATAATATTAATGGTATAAATTTCAATTGTGAAATATTTAAAGTTAATTTGTTTTGTTATTTTAATTACATTTGGAATAAATTTCAATATTCAAAATCATCCAATGTAACTAATTGTCCCTTTTTTCGTTACAACTATACTTATCATTTTCTTTTATTATAACTATTTTTTTCCTTTTCACATATTTTATCTCCATGTGTTGGATTCCATGGAAATTACTTTGTCAGATGAAACTCTCTAATCATAGTCTCTCTATCAATACCTAACACAAGAACAAAGCATTTGAAAATAATTCATCAAGTTAGGTGACTCTACTTTAGCTAAATGATCCATTTCAAATATATATATATATATTTCTTCTGTCCTAAAATAATTGTGCAATTTAGATTTTTAGTTTTTTTTTTATGATTTGAACTAAAAATAAAATTGTAAACTGGACAATTGTTTTAGAACATATTCTTCATTTTGTGCGTTTTGAATAAGCCACAGGTCTCAAATTATTAGCCAATTGGGTACAAAAAAAACTATATTAATTTCCTCACATAAAGAATACCGCAATCACAAGGTTTTCTCAACTAAATCTAGTGTTTAGATGTTTCCTCTATTAAAATATGTAGGGGTGTAATTGGGGATTAATGCCAAATTTTAAGAAAATTTTCAGGAGGTTAATTTGTACATACCTGAGATTGGTCATAAGGACTTAAAACATAAGTTAATTATTTTTCTCACCATGACCGTTAATTAAATTGGGTCATACGTGTCTTATGTGCTTGCCATAGTTAATTTTCACAAAAAAAAAAAAAAAAGATGGGCAGAAAGATAGAGGTAGTAATCAAACTCGCAGTTAATTTAGTTTTATTTATAAATTTATAATTTTACATTAAAAAGTTATCATTAAATGATGGAGTGATGTGGTTGCGACATGTGGACTTGGCTATCTAATTTTTCGATATGTAGATTGCCCTATCTAATTTTACGCCATGTGTACCGATTGAAAACTCTCCTTTAATATATATATATAAAAGATCTCTCAAAAATCACGCTATGGGTTAATCGCAACAAAAAGTAAAAAGAGTAATAAAAAACAAAAGAAAGGATTTCTGATACAAAGTGATCCACCTGGTAAAAATATTAAAAAATTTTGATTTTTGAATTTGATATTTTATAATTTTTAAATTATTTTATTGAATTTTTAATTATTATTTTATTTCTTAATTTGAATTTTTAATTATTATTTTATTTCTTAATTAATGAAAAACAAAAAGCCATGATAAAAGATGAAAATATCCTTACATTTTGACAGTCAATTGGACGGAAAGTTGACTTAGGACTTAAATAATCAATAAATTGCATTTTTTTGACAAAATGAGATGAAAATGGGTGTTTTGCTTGAGATGAAAATAATTTTTTGCCCAAATATATGAGAGTCTGTGGTTTAATTTCAACAAAAATTAAAAAAAAAAATCAGCTCTATTTTGCTCATTAATTTTCTATTTCTTGTAACTAGTAAGATAGCTTGATTATAGATGTATTCCTCAACTAATAGAAGAAGATTGCTGTTCCACTCACCTTCATGGAGATGAAAAGTCTCACCTGAAAAAGAGGCAGAAAAGGAGGAAAGCTGAATAAACATTTGGGCTCCCTTTTGACATTGCTAATGTTTATAAGATTCATATCTAGCTTTTGGGTGTCTTTTGTGATACTAATATTTACCACTATCAAATTCTTAAAGGCTATATCTGTCCTTGTAGGATCTTATCGTGAATGATGTTCAGCAAACTCTTTTTGAGGCATTATCATCTTTTGTTGGTAACCTAGAAGACAGACAAGGATTTTCGGAAAGCAGGACCTAGAGGAAATGCAACCTGAGGCAGGGGAGGCTTCATTTTATCTTTTATTGTGATGTTTAGAACACACTGTCTATTGTAAGATGTACTAATGTTGTCACAGTAATGAACATGCTTATAGATGTCGGGACAGTGTACTAATGCAATAACATGGAGGAGAATGAGCAATTTGTGATCGGCTCAAGCTTAAAAAACTGTAATGGAATTCAGAATTGAAGTTTTGTTTCTGATCAGATACAATACTAGGTTATCACTGGCCCAGATGGATGAAAATGTAGAAATTCCTGGTAAAAATGTCTCTGGCTAACATCTCAGAACATATATACAAAGAAGACCAGGTGAGAAATTTGGAATTTCGCAGATAAGGCCGGAGAAATAAAGTAATTAAAAATGACCAAATACAAGTAACAAAGCTTACTAAAATTCAAGAAAAGCGTACTCACAATTATAAGCAAACACATAATTATCTTGGCTACGACTACTTAAAACACATTAGGTCTCTTCGTAACGACTACTTAAACACATCAGGTCTCTGATCATATATTAGGTTATCACTGGCCCGGACGGATGAAAATGTTGAAATTTCCGGTAAAAATGTCTCTAGCTAACATCGCAGAACATATACAAAGAAGACCGAGTGAAAAATTTAAAATTTTGCAGATAAGGCCAGAGAAATAAAATAGTTAAAAATGACCAAATACGAGAAATTCCAAAAATGACCAAAGCTTACTTAAATTCAAGAAAAGCGTTCTCAGCAACTAGAAGCAAACACATAATTACCTTGGTTATGACTACTTAAACACATTAGGTCTCTGCAACTAGAAGCAGCAAACAGAAAATTAGGTCGCGTGGTTGCAACTACTTAAACACATTAGGTCTCTGCAACTAGAAGCAGCAAACAGATTATAATCTTTGTTACCACTGCTTAACACTTTTTAAGTCTCTCTGTACTTATCATGAGCTCCTCAAAAGAGAATATCTCTCTCAGAGTTATATCATCCGCTCCTTGCCAGAAGACTTTTCATCAGCTGTTGAAGACTTTTCGTCATCCACTGAAGACCTTTTATCATATGTTTCAAGACTCGAACAAGCAAGTTCAATCCTCTGGAGCTGTACAGAGATAAGATCATTCATTCTGTAAATCATAAAGTAGTAGTATAATATTAGGGGGAAAAAAGTAGATGATCTCAATACACAAGATTACTTGCATTACCTCCGCATAAATTCTCTCATGAATCTTCAATGTTTCTCCAACTTTATAATCCATGTTTTTCTTCCAAGAGGCTTGCCACTGGACACATTCTACCAGCCTTATGAAAAGATCATCTTTTTGCTACCAATATAGGGTTCAGAGATTCCAGGAAAATAATAATTTTTCCTCAGAGACCAAATTAGCCAAACCCACTAGTGAGAAAAAACGGGAGCATGTTCTCAGAGAATCACAAACCTTGGAAACACTAGAAATCCCCTTAAGCTTAATCGCCTCAGCCAGCAATTCTTCAACAGTATGAATTGTCATCAGACTCCGGTTTTTTTGCCGCACGCATATCCTGAGAATTAATTAAAATATACTCCCTCCGTCCCATAATTATTGTCCAGTTTGAGTTTTTATTTCTAGTTCAAATTGTACTAAAAGTGAAATCTCAAACTGGACAATAATTATGGGACAGGGAGTAATTTGTTTCCTTAACATCTCCTTTTAGCCCCCAGGACCTTAAATTCAATAATAATAAACAGCAACTAAGCCGACAGCAGACGGTCTTAATGGATAGATAATTACTAACTGATATCCCAAACTAGTAGTAACAAAAGCAACCAAAAAAACCCAAGTCGATTAAATCCATCCTTCAGCGAAAAGGACAAGATCACCATCGGATCGAGGTTTTCGGGAATAACATATGTTTTACAGTTTCACAAAATTCCTCAATAACAAAACCTCTATTTCTCAATCTTTCATTACTGATATCCAGCCATTATATGCTCTCCATACAAACTGCTTCGCCTCTGGCTTCATCAGTAGCTTAACTGGATATTAGTGTTCAGTGTTAATCATTTTTTACCAATCAATCAAGCAAATAGTAATGTTTGTCTGAAAAATATGTTGGGTGTTTGCAAGAGTAAACTCGTTATGTTTGCATTTGAAACTAAGCTATTTTTATAACTGATTTATACGTTAGGAGAAACATATAACTCTTTCATCTGATTAACTTTCCTTATTTTTTCGGTGCAAAATAAACGTCATTTGATCCTCGTGCAAATAGGGTCTTACTTTTTGAGTTTTGAATCTGATTAATTATGGGCAAAGTTCTCTTAAAATTTTTCACCGTATAAATTTTTTGCTTTTGGCTATGAGTTATAAGTCTTATGATTCAACCTTAATCTGACAATTTGAATATAAGAAACGATGAGACCAACTCTCTAATCAATAATAATCATACTAATGACCAGAATCCTTAGCTAGCTAGTCTCTATAATATACTCATTTTGATCTTAAAAGTAATGTTATTAAATTAAAACAATATAGTAAATCATACTCCCTCTGTCCCAAATTATCGTTCAGTTTAGATTTTCACTTTTTAGTTTAATTTATACTAAAAATAGAAATTTAAATAAAACAATAATTTCAAGACGGAGAGAATATTTTTTGTTTGGGACACGCGAATGGAGTATATGCACTTGTTTAATCTCTTGCCTTTGAGTTCTGCTCTCGACTCTTGTTCTTTCGGTAGTATAGTAACCAATTTAGCAACAGGTTGCTTAAAGCCTTAAAGGATGTTGTTTTTAAGGTGATTTTAGCTTGTGATAATTAGCCAATTTACAAAGCAGCATGTTAAAAAAAAAAGACAAAAGTATCTCCAAAGAGCCTTTCGTTGCTGCACAATGCTATAGGGATATTTATGCTTCAATTTTCGAGACGACAAATAGTAACAGCTTCATTGGGAAATTTTTTTTTTTCTGGACGTACACATATAACTCCTTGTTTCATTTTAATATGTTAACATCCGAAACATCACGTTGGTTTTGGTGTACGATATTCGATATATTCCCCACATCGGATTTGACGAACTGTTCACACAGTTAAAATCAACCTGCCTCAGTAGGATGATTTTTTTTTTTTCCTTTTCTTTCCTAAAACCATTGATGTGAGATAATTTGTGGATCATTGAAAAGGAAAACTTTTATAGCCATGCTGACCAGAAAATTTTGTTTACCCAATTCGGTATCTATCTGCAGTCTCATGAAAGTTATGGGAAAGATTTTGATGGACATGTTTTAGCTAGAAAACTGCCCAACAAATTGACTCATCTTCCAGGACAAATTAAGGTCCCTTTGGGGGGGAAGGATAAAAGCATATCCATGATACAAACAACTAAGTAAAACCTAGGGTTGGACGTCCAGCATTATTAATTTCCAGACAGGAGAAACCCAACTCATCTGTCCATTTGCTGCTTTCTTTGTGTTTAACGTCATTTGATTATTTTAATCTTGAACATGAAATTATCAATCAATCAAACATTGTACATATGTATAAATATATGGGTTGCCAAAAGTGTTGGATGAAAGACAACCAACCTTCATTAGCTTGAATCAAAAGCAGTTTAACACTTTCTCTGAAACCATATTGCTGAAGAAAGGAGCAAGATGGCTTCAAACAACTTACATGTGCTGCATGCGCTGGATAGCGCTCGCACGCAGATGTATCATTTCAAGGCTATTGTGATTGCCGGAATGGGGTTCTTCACAGATGCTTATGATCTGTTCTGCATCTCCGCGGTTTCCAAGCTCTTGGGACGGATATATTACTATGAAGATGGAAGTGGTAAGGTGGGAAAGCTTCCCCATAAGGTGAACAACATTGTTATTGGCGTCGCATTGGTCGGTACTCTGTCCGGGCAGCTGGTTTTCGGGTGGTTGGGAGACAAGCTCGGCAGAAAGCGGGTTTATGGAATCACTCTCATACTCATGGCCGCCTGTGCTATTTGCTCAGGTTTATCTTTTGGTAAAGGTCCAAAAGCTGTGATTGGAACTCTTTGTTTCTTCAGGTTCTGGCTTGGTTTCGGCATTGGTGGTGATTACCCGCTTTCGGCTACCATCATGTCCGAATACGCCAACAAGAAGACCCGCGGCGCGTTCATTGCTGCTGTTTTCGCTATGCAAGGAGTTGGCATCATTTTCGCAGGGCTCGTGTCGATGATTGTTTCGAAAATCTTCCTCAACTCTTATGGCGGTCCAGCTTTCAGCGTGGACCCGAAGAATTCCACTGAACCTGAGGCGGATTTCGCCTGGCGAATCGTCCTGATGCTCGGGGCGTTTCCTGCGCTCGCCACGTACTATTGGAGGATGAAGATGCCGGAAACAGCCCGTTACACTGCCATCATCGAAGGAAACGCGAAACAGGCGGCTTCCGACATGGGGAAAGTGTTGGATGTTGAGATTCAAGCTGAACAGGACAAGGTATCCAAATTCAGGGCCGCCAATGACTACCCGTTGCTCTCCCTGGAATTCGTCCAACGCCACGGGCTTCACCTGATCGGCACGACAACGACCTGGTTCTTGCTAGACATCGCATTTTACAGCCAAAATCTGACACAGAAGGACATTTTCCCTGTCATGGGACTAACAGACAAGGCCACTACAGTAAGCGCTTTGACAGAAATGTTTCAGACTTCGCGCGCCATGTTTCTGATCGCCCTGTTAGGCACATTCCCTGGATACTGGTTCACAGTGTACTTCATTGACAAGATAGGCAGGTTCTACATCCAATTGGTAGGATTCTTCATGATGTCGCTTTTCATGCTCATCATTGGAGTGGAATACAGCTTCCTGAACCAAAGAGCCCACAGGTGGTACTTTGCCGCCCTGTATGGACTAACATTCTTCTTTGCCAACTTTGGCCCCAATAGTACCACATTTGTTCTCCCCGCGGAGTTGTTCCCGACAAGGGTACGATCCACCTGCCACGCGCTCAGCGCGGCATCTGGAAAAGCCGGGGCGATGATCAGCGCATTCGGGATCCAGAACTACACACAGGATGAAACCAACAGCAAGATCAAGAAAGCAATGCTGATCTTGGCTTTCACAAATATGCTTGGGTTCTGCTTCACCTTCTTAGTGTCTGAAACTAAAGGCAGATCACTCGAGGAAATATCCGGCGAGGACGCAGCGGAGGGCGAGGCGGAGATGTCCCATAGAACAGCTCCAGTTCAGCCAGAAGCCTCATGGGAGTGATCTCGCGTTTACAAAGAAGGATACAGAAATAATTGGCAGAAGATATGTCAAAAAACTCTGTTTCTATCTCTTTCTCTCTTCTGCCACTACTATTTTACCTAATATCTGTTAGTAGTTGTGACATAATAAGTTGTCCCTGCAGTTATCAGGAATCATGTAGCACCTTCCATCTTCCTTTTGTGATTTCGATCAAGGGAAGTTAGGGACACCCGTTTTCTGTCAGTCTCTGTAGCCCAATATTGTTTTTTTTTTTCTCAGTGAACTGTGATAAGATTGTAAAATTCTAAGAAAAATTATGGGAGTTTTGTTTTACCTGTATACGTATACGTAGTGCCTAAGTTGATGCGCCTTTGGGGGGGAATACAACGAAGAAATCTTTTGTTTTTACGTGTTCTGCTGGTAGACATCATTGTTCGATGAAATCAAGTCACAAGCTCCACTTGACACACTGAGAAGTTCTCTAAATTGCCGTATTTTCCTTTAGATTTTTGTTATTTATATTTCTTCCGTCACAAATCAAATAAAAAAAATATAAATACAACAAACCGTAATGTAACCATGTTCATTTTGTTATCAACCACGTTGTAGCAATGCTTGGATAGTTATTCAAGTCTTTTGAAGATTATTGCTTACTTATGTTCTAAAAAATGAGGTTCATGTACCAAAAAAAAAAAAAAAAAAATCACATTATACAGATTTCAAAATTTAATGTAGATTCTTTTAGGACATTTATTCATTGAACCGTACATTAATAAACTCCCTCCCCTAAGAAAAAATCATAAGAAACTTGATTTTTTTGAGGTGTATTATACTCCCTCCCTCCTGTCCTTATTATAAGTCAACTTCATTTTGTCTTAGATTTCACCTAAGATGTCTTTTTAATTGAAAAAAGAAACTTAAAAATATATTTCCACATTCGTAGTATTCTCCTATTTATTAGAAAATATTTTTAAGGTTTTTATTTCAATTAAAAAGATATTCTAAGTAAAATCTAGAACAAATGAAAATGCTTTATAATAAGTACAAGAGGGAGTAGAAAGAATTGTCAAATGCCAACAAAGCATATTCTGGATGTTCCATCCAAATCATCTCTTGAATACGGTAAGTTTCATCTTTAAGTACACTTACTCTCCTTGTTTCATTTGATGGCATTCTCTTTATTGTAATGTTTTAAATTGGGACAAAAGAAGTAGTAAGAAAATGACATTTTCATTTTACGTTTTTTGTTTTCCCCCTTTCTGGATCTTTTAGGTAATACTTATTAAAAATATAAATTATGAATTACTTCTGAATTTCATTTCTTGGTAATTAAAAGACTTCTGAAAATGTAAAAATATGATTCTTTTCTCTAGAAGATCTAAGAAAATCCAAGCACAACAATCCAAGAAAATCTCACTGATGCTCCAATTTTTATTTTTATTTTTTTAAGGGGAAGAATAAAAAAGAAAGAATAAATCCGAAGTTGATTCCAAAATTTCCAGATCAAAGATCAAACCTATAACCAGAATATATCGTTGAATTAAAATGATGACCAGGATGAGAAGAACCAACTACTTTTTCTTGTGTTGATTTTCCAAGTTGCAGCACAGGATCAGCAGATTGAATGGAGGAGCCAGGATGATGAATTCAGTTTCCGTGGTTCTAATAATTGATCCATCATCTTTCTCGCCCAAACATTTTGCAGATCAAATACATAAAGTTGGAGTACCGATCAGTACAGGGCTCGAGATTCACAAACCATCCCATGATGCTAACAACGCTAGACAATCGGCTGCAACCGAACCTTAAGCCTCATTTGCCAAATCAAGTACTCAACTTTAATATCAATCCATCATGAAAGAAAAATATATATATATATATATATATATATATATATATATATATATATGATTCTTCTTTTAAGACCGAAAATAATGAACCAGATTCTTGGTTTTGCAACAAAAATCATCTCCTGATCATCATATTTAAATCAATAGAGTTGCCTGATCGTATGGATAAAATGCAATGAACGGCTTGCCCACTAGCTAGGTTGATGATTCTATATTCTACGTTCTTTTTGTTGCTAATTGTATAATCATTTGAAAATGTGCTTTGTCTTTTTTCTTTGGGCTTATTATTGTTTACATGAAATGTGAAACACGTTTATCTTATGAAGCTTTAACTCAAAACCAAATTAAGTGAAAACACGTTTTAAACTTTATTCCTTCGTAATAACAATGAATTAATATTCCATTAAATTACTTAATCCATCTTCCTTCTCAAAGCACTTGTTATCATTATGCATAATAATAGTAATACATGAAGAAAGCAACTATTCCATCAATTAGCTTTCTTGTTCTAATTCGCCAAAGTAAGAATTTAGAAATAGGAAAGTGCACCGTCTTCTCATATTCCACTTCCAGTAAGAACTTAGAAAGATGATCTTTTATCATTGGGAGTTTTAAGAAGCTTCTATACTTTAAATTTATTCGCCTTTCTATAGAATATTGTGTTTCTTCATTTTTAACACTGTCTTGCCTTTAAATATCTGGTAGATTCTGTACTATATATTCTATCTTAAAATAATTGTCTCGCCTATTTGTTATATGTCTAAAAAAAATAGTTCACATATAATTTTAAGATTTATACTCTTTTAACTCAATGTTGATTATTTTTGTAGGACAAAAAGAGTACTATTTTACAATAAATAAACAACACAATTATCTTAGAACATTGAAAGTAATTTATAGTCATCATTACAAAAATAAATCAAGTGAACGCCAATCGAAGTCTCTAATTAGTATCCTGAAAAACTAAACAAACATCTATAGTATTATATTAAGAGAGAAATCAGAGAGAAAGAATTAAATTTCTTCTCACGTTGCCACATTGGATAAAATCCTATGTGTCAATTTTCTATAGGTTGTTATAAAAAATATTTACAACAATTACATAAAAAGTCCTTTGAATTTTCAGTTATTGAAGTATTAAAATTTTACAATTAAAGTATAACAATTAATTGTATTGAAAACTTTCTATTTTGTATTTGGTGAGATGAAAAAAAACGGAATATTTATTAAAGAATCTACATTAATGCCTTTTTTTTCCATTATGTGTCACCCAAAAAAGAAATATTTATTTGATTCATAATAAAAACTGATTGATTTGAAAAACTAATCCAATTTACGGGAATGATGCCATCACATATTGAATCAAACATTAAACAATTTTAATGATCTTTTGAAATTTAAAAAAGAATTAATAATTAATGTCAAGCTTCTTGGTTATTCTTCTAGCCTTTTATTCTCGGTGAAAATAATTCCCCTCAATTTAATATACCACCCATTAATTATCAAACTCAAAAAATTAGCAAATCCCTTAATTACGACTAATATAGGATGATATGCAATTTCTAAATGACGAGACTCAAAACAAATGTATATTAATGACAAAATATATGACAATTCAACTGCATCAAGCATGTATTCGGCACAATAAATTGAAAATAATGCTTTGAAATTAGGAAAATATTACAATAATAAATTAATCAAATCAATGCTTATTTTCTTGCCTTTAAATACAAAAGGATTCTCATGCATGTATATTTCTCAAATGAAGACTAATATACGCATCCCTCTCAAATATCTTAAGATAAAGAGTTGAATACCTCCATTAATTATTCATTTTTTGCTAATTATTAATTATTAATTTTTTAATTTGAATTTAATTAATGCATGACCTGTCATTTATTGACGAAAAAGAAACTTGATAAATATGAAATAAAATTTCTAAATATCTCAAATTACGGGTATTTAAATCATATGAAGATAAAAAAAAATGTTGATGCTATAGAAAGAAAACTATTGTATTAACACGATAATATAGAATGTTTTCTTTTTATAAAACTATACAAGCAATCACTCCCAAATTGAAAGTAATTGTATTTTTTTTGTTTCTATGCTTCACCAATAAATACGACCCTTCATCTCTTTGTTCTCCAATTTTTTTCCTGTTCGATTGCTCCATAAAATAACAATTCGTTTTAGTTTATGAAATTGTTTTTTTTTTTCTATAAGCCGATTTTTTTCACTGATTTATGAAGCTTTATCATGTCTCAATGATTATTTCTATTTTGGCAGGGTATACATGACATGGGTGGAGTTTTTGGGCAGCATGTGTTGTTAAAGAGGCCGTAAAGATCCATCTTTTTAAATATAAGTGTTTTGCCGCACATAGTTCTTCAAAGTAGAGAACGAAAGTCAAGGTATACCTTAAAAATTTGTTACTTATGTGTATAGTGATCAAATTTAAACTTGAGAAATTTGTTTATGTTTTTGATTGCTTCAAACATGATGTTAAAAAACTGAAAATCTGACGTAAATGGGAATGTGCAACAATGAAAATTGGACTGCGAGGAGAATCAAAAGCAAGTATCAACAAATTATTCAATATTAATTATGCTTTAAAAAAGACTCTAATTACTCTCATCCCTAATTAATTAATTATGCCACGTTAGTTGTTTGGCATTGGAAATTGGTTTATACTCTCAAAATTGGTTTATATATTTTTATTTTATTAATAAATTCATAAAATTTTTATATTTTATCCCGCACATCGTGCAGGTAACATCTAGTGTTATACCTATGATGACAAATGGATTGTGATCCTGGCTTCTTTTATCATGAACGTGATCGCGTGTAATTAATTCGTTTAAGCCTTTTTGTTTCCTTTTGTAAAGATGTTATATGCATTCAAATTCTAGGGCTTTTTTTTTTTTAACTGTGTTGTACATGTGGCCTTATTGGATCTCAAACAATTTTGATTAAGAAGGTTCTTGGGTTGTAAAGTTATTGTTTACACCAAGCATTATGGAATCCAAGCTCCAGATGCTTCACTTAATCACACTATAAACAGAATAAAGGAATCAGCATATTTTCTGCTTTTTCAAACCCAGTCATATTCACACCTTCATTTTCATATGTACAGTAATCAGATTAAACCAACACTCTTAAAGCACATTCATCATCCATTATATATATCTGCAGTTGCAGTCTCACTCTTTGCATCAAGCATCCAGCTATCTTAAATCAGTATTATTATATTAAAGATCAGTTTTACTTTTTCATAAAAAGGAAGAGTAAAGTATTTGATCAATATGTTCAATATGGCAGTACAAGCTGATCATTATGCTCATAACATGTTCGGAAACGGTGCCGGAAAAGTGAGGATTCCACCGGAGAGAGGGCAGATTAAAGCCAAGATATTCAAGGGTTTGGTTAAGAAAGTGTCTAGGTTAGCATCTGGAAGCTTTAAAGAAGCTGGTTCAGGAAGCGGTTCTGCTAGTTCATCTTCATCATTTTCTTCTTCTTCCAGCTTTAATGGCGCAGATGATTGATTGATACACTCCCATATATTTTATGTTAAGTTTTCATGTTGGATAGATACATATATCAAGAAGTCCCTAGCTCTGTTTGTTTCTCTTGTGTGTATGTAAACATCCCTTTGATCTAGTCTAGTTATTATTATACTTTCGTAGTGTGCATGATTGGATTTTGGTTTTAATTAAGGAGGAAAAAAAATTTAGTACTCTTTTCGTCTCAAAAAATAATAGTCCAGATTGCAATTTGTGAACTGCACTATTACAAAATTATATAAATTATATTAATAAGGACTATTTTTGTGAAACAAAGAGAGTAAATTATCAATAATCTCATGTGGTGTCGAAAACTTTTACTAACCGCGCCTAAAAGTAAGTTATTCAGATACAATAAAAATACTCCTCCCAAATGACTGAAGTTAGTAACTTGATATCATCATAAATGAAAAACGGCACTCATCCTTAAGATAGAGCAAATACCTAATTAGCAGTCTCTAATCTATACTAATACTATCATGTTTAGATAGGAATCACAAGATGTTATAATTGGAAAATTTGTACACTTAAAACCGAATATATTCATCCTTAAAGTAATGCACCTTTAGGGCTCTTAGTCTAAAATTCTTTCCAATCATATTGCAAAATGATTTATACCATACTTTTTGACAGAGAACAAGATATTTCATAGTGTTGTTAGTGTCCCGAAAATTAAAATAAATTTTGTGTCTCTTGCCACTGAAAATACTACTCTTTCTGTCTTTAAAAAATTATTAATTACATTTCTTTCTATTTGTAGTAAGTTTTTTTCCCCAATTTTTGTCTACTTTCGTTGGTTGTTTGTTGCTTGCTACTCTAATCTGCCCAATGGGAGTATGGACTATACTTATAAGGTAATGCTTGTTAGTCCATTAATACTTGGGCATTTGGTGGCGGGAAAGCCCAAATGGAGGTTTTTTTCTTTCTGGCTCAAATTGGGAAGTAATTTATCCACGTGCCCAGAAAATTGCGAGGCCATTAATCCAACTGTCTGAAAGGAATGATGTTCCAACCGTCAGTTCGGATGTCAAGACTAACTTGTTGCACATCCTCAGTTATTGACAGGACAACTTCATTTGGAATAGCATTTGATATTGATGGAGTTGTTCTTCGTGGGAAGATCCCAATTGGAAATTCAGCCAAAGCTCTCAAGAGACTCTATCATGATTCTGGTAACCAAGATTCTTAATTTCTATTTTCTTGTGTTTTTAGTTAGTACTTTTTGTTCATTGTTTTGGCTTCTAATAATGTACTACTTCAATGTGTTTTAACTTTTAAGTGAACTCACTATTGTTTTTTTTGGTTTGTAGGAACTTTGAAGATTCCGTTTCTGTTTTTGACAAACGGTTAGTGTTCATTTAGATGACGAGGGCAATCTCATTCTCGTTGTGCATTGGATTTTCAGTGATTGTTTGAGCTTATGCAAATTTTGAATTTGAATCAGTCCAATGAAATGATTTTTAACCTTAACATTCTGTAGGAGGTGGCATCCCGGAGTCTAGAAGAGCCTTTGATTTGAGTGAAATTCTGGGAATTAGGATTTTACCTTCTCAGGTTAGTTTCTGATAGCTTTGTACACTTTAAATTGGTTTTCATGTGTTAATATTAACTCTAAGTCGCAAATTTGGACAACGACGTTTTATGCCCCAGCTTGCCCATTATCGAGCTCAATTAATACTTAGTTCTTACTAAAAAGTTATTTCTGATGATCATTCATAACTCAACTTTTCGATATGCAGTTTAGGGTGGGTAGAAGGATGATTTAACTTTGAAGTTCTAGTTGGGAGCAATATGAGTTGTTTATTTCGATTATTGCAGCTTTTCTTTTCTATAATATTCTGCGTTTATGCGACTGTCTGTATTATTTCTCTGTCTGAAGAATTGAACATTCTGATTGGACACAGATCGTCCAGGGGCATTCATCATTTAGAAGCCTTCTCGCCAGGTGTATAAGATGTTTATGGTTCTTGTTTATAGGGTCGATTCTCCATTACCTGTTTAGGTTGTTTGTCTGATCAATTAAACTTGAAATTAGTTCCTTATATTGTATAGACTAACGCCTATATTGCCAGGTATGAAAATGATTTTATTGTTGCCACTGGAAAAGGGGAACCTTCTGTGGTGATGTCTGAGTACGGTTTCAAGTAAGTTTCAGGGTCACGGGTTAGTCTAACTCTTTATCAGCAGTTAATATGGCCTGATATCTCCTTGATTTTTCAAGTTGGTTTATGATTTACGCCATCTCCAGGAATGTTGTTTCGCTGGAGGAGTATGCTTCATACTTTGATCATATTGACCCCGTTGCTCAATACAAAAGCTGGACAACCAAGGACAAGAAAGCCTATGATGTTGCCCCTGATAGAGTGAAGGCTGCATTCGTTATCAGTGATCCTGTTGATTGGGGCAGAGATATTCAGGTTGGTAGCTTTCTAGTTTGTTTGCCTTTTTCCATCCTGAGACATGCAACGATTTTCAATGCTGAAGCTCTTGTCAACATGCATAAAGGTCCTCTGTGACATTTTAACCTCCGGAGGTCTTCCTGGAGGAGAGATTCAGGAGAATGAGCATCAGCCACCCTTGTATTTTGCTGCAGATGATCTTGAGTATCAGGTCAGATATCTCTGCTTAAGAAACTCTACGTTCCTGCTACTTGTATTACCTTGGAAGACAAACCTAGCTACATGGAGAGTCCATTTGTCCCATTAACTATTGTGTTGTCAATAAAATGATATGCTAATCTGCATCAAATAGTATTCGTTGTCTTTGACTGAGTTTTTCTGATTGTCAATACAAGACAGGCTTCATTTCCTTCTGAGCGACTTGGTATTGGTGCATTCAGAATTGCCCTTGAAAGTATCTTCACCAGGTGAGGTTAGTAATATATTAAGACATGGTCTTTCTGGTTTATTTTGTCGTAATGCAGGGGACGCATGTGATCACAAAATGTTCATACCAAAGATTGAATGTCCTACAAGATTGTATAATGAATTTTCTCCAGTTTTTCGTATTCAGAATTAAAAGCCAGTGCATGTAGTCACGATATCTGACCTAAAACACACTTCACTATGAAAGGTTTTTTGTTTGGTTAGCATCTATATACAAGACTGAGATATTTAAGATATTCAAATGCAGAATTCACCACAAGCCCTTGGAATCCACAGTTTTTGGCAAACCAAAACCATTTGTTTTCAAGAATGCTGAAGTTATTCTGAGACAGCTATGGGAATCCTCATGTCATGGTAGTGCCGTAGATGAAGATGGTGACTTCTCAACACGTTCCTTTAAGACACTGTATATGATTGGCGACAATCCTTCTGTGGATATCAAAGGTGCTCAGCAGGTTTGTTTCTGCCACTAGAGTCTGAGTCTTCAAGTCACTCTTTTCTCCTCCACTTTATTTAAATTTGTATCTCTTTGTTGAGCCCTCAGGCAGGACATCCTTGGTTTTCAATTCTGACTAGAACAGGTGTATTCCGGCAAAGGGAGAATCATGCCGAATATCCAGCTGATTTGGTATGTCTAAATTCTAATGATGGCATCTGAAAGTTCTTTAGGATGATTTCTTTCTCATTGTTGCGACACGATCATCCTCACTCCCATACTAAAATGAAAAATGAAAGCTCTCTAACCCTGATTTATATATTATGACAAACTTCATTCTGGAAATGCTCAAGATCATTATAATCTTGCTCTCTCAACATATCAAAAACTGATGCTGCTTGTTATCTGATGAAGAGCAGCACTTGATTTCGTTTACAATTTACTTTCAGGTTGTAGACACAGTTGAAGAAGCGGTTCAGTTCATTTTAGAAAGGGAGGGAGCTTGTTAGTTGATTGAGGAGGCATTCTAACTTCCTAGTTTCCTTTTCCTTGCTTTGTAATTACTGAAAATCATTTCTTGATTCACTTTGTTGATAAAAACGACACTTCCTTTCCTAAGGTTTTGGAAATCATCAAATTACATTCTACTCTAGTGATTTTGGTCACTTGAATGATTCAAATTCGATCATTTGTTGATTATGTTATATTGATGATGATATTTAAATGAGATGAAATATGATTTGTAAGATTAAACAAGACCTAGTCGAGAACTCGCATATTAATTCGGCTTAAAAAAAAAATTACAACTTAGATGCAAACACGCGAAATGAAGTCATATCTTTTTTAACTTTTGTGAAATGACAAAGTGTATATTTCTGTGTATCTAAAATGTAACTATATAAAATTGCAGCCTAAACAAAACTATCTATATTAATAAAATAATAAAAATAAAAAAAAAATAAAAATAAAAAACTTCACAAAACTTCAAATAAGTTCGTCCTCCGTCTTTCTTTCCCCAAAATACCCCTCTATTTCAGTCTCAAATCCATCAAACGTCAAAACAATGGATAAGGCGACCTAAAGAACATCATTTCCAGAAGGCCAAAAATCCTCTGAAAATGGAGGCCAATCTCTTCACCTTACCTTCTTCCACACCCAAACCGCTGTCTGTACCTTCCATTTCTCTCAAATCACACTTCAGAAACCCCTTCAACTCCACCACCCACCTCCGCCATGGTCGCCCCAAGACTGCACCTTTAACAATCAGGTCAGCCATTAGCAGAACCAAGAAGGAAGAAACTGTTGAAACAGTGAAGCAGCAGCTCGAGGATTGTTTCCTCATTGCTGCCATTGGGTACAAAGGGTTCACCGTCAAACAATTTCAGGAGCTCAGGAAGCAATTCCCTGAATCTTCGAAGCTCATTGTTGCCAAGAACACTCTTGTTTACAAGGCCGTTGAAGGGACTCCATGGGAAGCCTTGAAACCTTGTATGAAAGGTATGAATGCTTGGCTATTTGTTCACAGTGAAGAAATCCCAGCTGCATTGAAGCCTTTTAGGGAGTTTCAGAAGGAGAAAAAATTGGATAGTAATGATTTTACTGGAGCTGTGTTTGAAGGGAAGTATTATGGTCCTGATGAATTCAAAAGTCTAGAGACTTTGCCAACGAGGGCTGAAGTTTATGCCAGAATTTTGGGATCACTTAAGGGCCCTGCATCATCTGTTGTTGGGACTTTGCAGGCTCCTGCTAGGAATTTGATTATGACGCTCCAAGCTCATGTGAAGAACTTGGAAGAGGGTGGGAGTAAAGGAGACTAGTCTTTCTTGCTCAATTTCTAATAGTAGATATCCAATGTAAGTGTTGGTTTATTTGACCTCATTATTTTGTCAACTTCAATTGTGCAATTCACAAGTTTTGTATGTATTTCTCGGGTAGCAATTCATTTTGCTTTTTGGAGATTTCTATTGATCTGAAGTTGTTCGACGATTTGCAAGGTAACGAAAAGCTGCGAATTTTTCACCTTTGGGAACTTTAAAGTAGTTTGATTTCGTGCTTTTTTTGTCAAAAACACTGCTTCCTAGAAATGCCATGTTAGCCGTTAGTATCTCTGCATATTATATTGGCATAAGACTTGAATAATCTTGTGAAGCAAATGCCTTGTTGTTCTAGAGATGTAGAGTTGATCCAAACAAAGAAATCAAAGCTTGACTTGATTTTCTGATTCGGGAAAGGGCTTTATTTTGTGCATTTTCATGCTGTTTCAAAGCATACCAGCATCTAGGTTGAACTACAGAGTTAGCATCCTACCTTTGCTAAGTTTGATGCTGTGCAAAATGTAGAAGAATATCGGAGAGTTCTAACATGATCATGCTGTATGATATTGCAGATATAGTGGTTTTTGCATATACCATCACTTAGCTGTATCTATCTCCAGATTAATTGTTCTTGTCGCGAATGACTCATCGTACTCTTTCATATTCAATATCTGGTGTTTGTTGTTTGTTTTGTCTATTAACTGAAACAAAGGGTAGCTACGGATTCGTGTATCAAAATGTGTTTGCCAACATCCTGATTTCCATGGACGTTGAATGTGAAGGTTTAATCAGATATATCATGCATGAATGGAGAAAGAAGTGATACATTGTTGATGTCACAGTCATTCACTTGCACCGATTCTCATTGGGAACAACTTATATCAATGGAGATAACCTTTTCCCCTCTTCCTAGATGGTTATGAAATAGGATAGGCGTTGCTGAAACATAGACGCATTTTGAACACCTCTGTCTGCCTACACCATTATGATTACGCCCCTGTTTTAAGACAATTTATCATCCAAAATTTCATCAAGGCTTTCTATGAAATTGTTGCTTTTTTCACTTCTTCTTTCCTAATAATGAATTCCTTTACTTGGCAATACCTCCTACTCTCTCATTGGAGTTTTGTCTATGGCGTCGAATTCATGGCAATAATGTTTATGGTTAGCTGATCTCAAGGTTCATGTTGGAACTAGCAGAGTAATATCTCTACCAGTACTGGGTATGCTAGAAATTGAATGAGATGATCAAAAAGGTTAACATAGTGCAGGCAAGTTAAACGAGGAGGTTGAGGTTGCCTAAAAAATCGTATTAAAAAAAAATGTTCAGATCAAGATAAAAATCAAAATCAAAATCACAATCGATATAGGCCAAGTCCTTTTGGCTTAGAAGGCCAAGCCACCCAAACACCTACCATCTACATTGCATGAACAAAATCAAGTCACGTTAATTACATCCCTGAAACCGTGACGAAGAAATGGCGAATTACCAGCAGAAAAGAAGCAATGCATTATAACAACTACAATTCCTGCATCATCATCCACTTAGAAAACTCAACTACTACCTAACCTCCTCTTTAGCAGCCATATTCCAGATTCACGAACAAATGGCCAGTGTATATATATAAGGCCTCCAGGGGAAGTGACCAGTGAACTGCTAGGTTTCACCACAAACACACAGAATCCCCACATATTATGATGGCTATCATATGGTATGCCCCTCTTTTGTTTCTGATTGTCTATTTACTTCTCCTATGCCACCAATACTTTAGAGGAACAACAAAGAAAACCTCAATTCCATTAAACTGGCCAATTTTTGGCATGTTTCCTAGTCTATTCTTAAATGAACATAGAATTCATGATTATGTAACCGATGCATTACGAGGGTGTGGATACACTTTCGTATTCAAAGGTCCTTGGCTATCCAGTGTCAATTTGCTGATCACTTGTGATCCTGCTAATATACACTACATGTTGAGCAAAAACTTCTCTAACTTTCAAAAGGGTCCAGAGTTCAAAGTGATTTTTGATATTTTAGGGGAAGGGATTTTCAACGCTGAAGCAGAATCCTGGGAAAACCAAAGGAAAGCTCTGATGCCGCTAGTTAATCAACATGAATTTTACAAGTTTACCGGGTCGACTACCTGGAACAAATTGGAGAAAGGGCTGATTCCAATACTGGAGCATGCAGCTGAGACAGGAATGGAGATTGACTTGCAAGAGCTGTTGGAGAAGTTTACCTTTGATACCTCTTGCATTATGGCATTGGGTCATGACCCTGCTTCTCTTGGAACCGACCTGCCAGAAAATGAATATGTGAAAGCCTTTGTTGATGCTGAAGAAGCCATCTTTCACAGACATATGCTTCCAGCTTTTTACTGGAAGCTCCAAAGGTGGCTTCAAATTGGCAAAGAGAAGAAGCTCACCAAGGCTAAAGTTAGCCTCAATCAGTTTTTGGACACTTGCATCGCAGTTAAGTCAGAAGAGTTGAAAGGTGGAAATCAAACAGCCAGTTCCCAGGAGGAAGGAGGGGGCCTTGACTTGTTGACAAGGTACATGAAGAAATTAACCGGATGCCAGAAAGAGAATGGATCATCTGCTTTACTCTCTCAAAAGGTATGGGCAGATGCTTTACTCAATTTGATCTTTGCAGGTAAAGACACGATAAGTGCAGGTCTTACTTGGTTCTTTTGGCTCCTTGCTACAAATCCTGTGGAAGAAAATATGGTTTTACAGGAGTGTGTAACCAACTTACACGTGAAACAAGGAACATGGGAGTTCTCCAACATAGAGGAGATTAAGAATCTGGTACATCTGCACGGTGCTTTATGTGAGTCGCTTCGGCTCTTCCCTCCAGTTGCAATGCAGCACAAAGCTCCAGCAAAGGTTGACATTCTCCCAAGTGGCCATCGCTTAAATCCTAATGCAAAGACAGTGTTATCCTTTTATTCAATGGGAAGGATGGAGAAAATATGGGGAACTGATTGCTGTGAGTTCAAGCCACAGAGATGGATTTCAGAGCATGGGGGTATAAAACACGAACCATCTTTCAAGTTTACAGCATTCAATGCAGGACCTAGGACCTGCTTGGGCAAGGACGTATCTTTCATCCAAATGAAAATTGTTGCTGCTGCGATTATCTGTCGTTTCCAGTTTCAGATCTTACAAAGCAATCGCATTGCAACCAGTAATTCTGTAATACTTCACATGAGACATGGTCTGAAAGTCAAGGTTTCCAAACGGAATGTTGGAAAGTTCGCATAGTATCAGAGTAGCATCCATAAATTAGCAGGCTCTCAACCTGTGGATCTCCTATGAGCTAGACCCAATAAGAAACTCGTGTAAAGTTACTCATGCAGCATTCCTTTTCAAAGTGAGCCTGTTCCAACAATATGAGCTATTGAACCTCGCAATTTTCATTGTGTTCACAAACCAAAACCAAGAACATCAAAACTTTCTAGATCTGAAAATAGTGAAATGATGATTTCATTTGCATATCAGATCTCAGCAATCAAACCGTAATTTTTTGAACAAGCTACAAGTTTCACTGCACACTGTTTGACATGTTGTGTACAAAAAGGATTCGCATGGCTTTCATGACTTCATGGCAATAAATCACAAAGAGCAGATAACTTAATAATCTCATGAAATTACCAGAGTGTATTAAAACTTACTAGCCCAAAATAAGATTTGGATATCTACAAACCAATATTTCCAGATTTAAGAGGAACAACACAACTCTTTTACAAATCCAGAACCAAAAAACATCAATAATAGGCCATGGAGCACTCTAACCATGGAGAATGATTAAGAAATAGAGTTGTAAAAGAATAATAAGCGTCTGCTCATGAAGGCAGTATCAGTTAACTGCGCTGCATTTTAACTACGCTTGGTGTTCACTACAATGAAGTTCAGAAGACTTCAGCTTATTTACATTTATTTGGCCTCTAAAAGAAACAGCTAGGCACCAAGATCATCAAAATCCTTGAAGTTAAATAAACTATATTACAAAGCAAGATGGACTGAGCATTCAAAGCACCAGCAAAGTAAATCTAAGAAGCCAAGAGGTCTAGTCAATTAAGTTGGTGCATTTATCTTTAACATCTAATACCTTACACAAATTTGGCTAGAATTGCCTCAACAACACCTTGAGCTATAGGGTGATAACCGTCACGAGCCTCTGCAAATACCCTTTTAGCGAAAGTTTTCTCTTCCTCCTTTCCTGCACCTTGAACAAGAGCAGTGTAAAGTGGGCGGAGGTACTTCATCCTCCCAACCTCTTTCAGAGTTCTCTCCACCTCGGCATAGTAGTCTTTGCACCTGGATGATATTGCCAACTGAAGAAAAGCCACCTTGACTTCAAAATCTTTAGATTCCGAGAGCCTATAGCGAGCATCCAAAGCTTGGAGCTGCAAAAAAATACAAGTTGCTTTTAAGTGAAACAGCAGAAAGAATGGCGAAAGAAGCACACAAAGGCAGAAATTACAATGTGCTCAAGTAATCATACCTGTGAAGCTTCAACAGATTTGGACAGGTTCTCCAAATACAGCTCCCATTCTTGCCCATGCCATTCAGCAACTTCATCCTCCCTTGGCATCCTCCCAACTTTAAATTCATTAGCTAGTGTCACGATCTTCGTATAAATATTAGATACTGGCTCCATGGCATCAGTTGGGATACCAGTACCTTCAGTCCAAGCAATCAAATCAATCTGATTTTCTATGCCGGGGAGATTTGCTTTCAGGAAATTGAGAAAAGTATCAGTATCAATGGACTGGAATTTGAATGTCGCGATGTATTTCTTGAGAAAGTCATCAAATGCTGGTCTTCCAATCTGAAAAAGATAATAAATGGATAAAAGAATCAACACCACATGCTGCCTGCAGGAACCAGAAAAACAACTCCCTAGAGCCCCATTTTCTTATAAATGAAGTTATTGAACTTTAGAAAAGAAAAAAAAAGAGTTACTTAATTGTAGTATGAAAGATTGAATAATGGAAAAGAGAATTCAAAAGGAAATTTGAATGTTGAAGGCCTAAAGGACTTATACTAGAACATGTTGAAGAGAACAACCACTATGTGTTACCTGTCTCTCAATGCGCCACAAAAACTGGAACCCTTTTTCATATGGAACCTGTGAATATACATCATCTGGGTCCACTCCTTCCTGATTTGTTTTCAGTTTGGTGAACTCCATATTATCCTTAAATCTTTCCATTTCATCGACAAGTCCCCTCCACCCAATTCCAACATTCAGTGCAGCAATGTCTTCTCCCTGAACAGCTTCAACAATTCTCCGCTCGGCATATGTAGTAAATCCCTGTGAACAAGTAAATTGTAAGTTTCACTAGAAAAATATAAAACCAAACAAGTACAGGAATGCATACCATTCACTTGTTTTGCATAAACCATGACCATCCATCATGTCAAAAAGCGAAAAGTCTTAAATCATAAAAACAAGAACAAATTCAAAACATTGTCCTTTTTAACTAACTGACAAGCTCAAATTAGAATATTATAATTCCAACTAAGAAAATTGCAGGGAACATGAGTTTTAAAAATATACAGCATTCAAAAGAGAATTGAACTCCAATTGAAAAGGAAAAGAATTTACTGCCGACAGCCACCAGCTCACTCGACAAAGAAACTTGATTAATCTAAGAATACAAATATACGTCTGTGGTTATGGCATTACGCTACACTCTGGTTTGTGATATATTACCATCACAATCTCTAAGAAGTTTAGAATAAATTCAAACTTAAAACATTCATGTAAAAGTATTACTAAGAATCATATGCAATCAAAAAGGCACAATTGTCTTAAAGCTCAAACCATATGATCCGAAGCTATGACCTGAGTAACAGATACTCATGGAAACTAGAAGAATGCTATGTGGCTAATATTTATTTGCCAAAATTCAAATACCAGGAAAAAATTCTCAAGATTAATTTTTTACATGCGGCTACTACAGATAACCAAAGCAGCACAGCTAAAAGACAAGCTGCAACGGTTAGAAAACGAGAGCGAGGAGATAATTCATAGTTAGTCTAGCAATGGTAGATTACCTCATTCAACCAGAAATGATCATTGGTCTTGTTAGTAATCAAATTCCCTGTCCAGCTATGAGCAAGCTCATGTGCCACCACCTGAGCCCCAGTGGCATCCCCTTTGATAACAGTTGGTGTCAGAAAAACCATCCGAGGATTCTCCATCCCTCCATAAGGAAAACTTGGGGGCAACACCAACAAATCAAACCTTTCCCAATCGTAAGGTCCAAAAAGCCTCTCCCCAACCCTAATCATTTCCTCTGTCCCAGCAAACTCCCTCGCAGCAGCATCCAACACCGCCGGAGCTGCCTCGGAGTAGACCCGGGTGCGTGGGCCCACCTCCCTGAACCCCAACTCTCCAACAGCAAAGGCAAACAAATGAGGAGGAATAGGCTGCTCCATCACGAATTCCTCCACAACTCTATCCGCACCACACCAAACAGAATCATCACAAGCCCCCTTAGCGTCACCGAAGCCCAACGGTTCCCGCCGGTGGAGATGCTTGGCGGACATAACAGCAGAAAGCTGCCTGGGAATATTCAACTTCGCATCATAACAAACGCGGGCAGCAGGGGTATCCTGGCAAGGGAAAATCGACCTGGCATGGATAGATTGACATTGGGTGTACACAAAAGGCAAGGCTTTATTAAAAGTCTGGGGAGGGGAAAGCCATTGAAGGGCTGAGCTTAAAGTTGAAGTCTTGGAAATAACAAGAACCTGGGATTGGCCGGAGAGTGTCACAATCAGGGCTTGGCCTAAAACCGGATCAGGGGTTGATGGATTAAGGGTAAAGGGCAGTGGGGAAAGAGAAGTGGGATCAAGAACCGAGGCTATGGAGAGGGTTCTGGTGTCCAGAGTGAAAGGACCGGAGTGGGGTTTGGGGAGGGAGATGAGAGTGGAGGTGTGGATGGTGGATGAAGGGAAATCGAAATAGAGGGAGAGGGAGATGTGGGTTGTGAGGGGTTGGGTTGAGTCGGTGTAGGAGTGAGGATCAATGGGAGCCATTGGAATGGAGTATGGAGAAAATTGGACAATCAAGAGCTTTGGCTATGGCGGACCGGAACAAAGTGTTCAGGAATTGAGGGGCTTTTTTTTGTTGAGGAGTAAAGCTGGTTGAGAGACACTGTGAGAATCAAGAAGAACAATGAATTATGAATTGGGGGAATCAGTAGGGTTTTAAATTTGGAGGGAGGAGAAAAAGAAGGGGGTAAAGGTGGAAAGCAACTCCATCTTCTTGTTTAATTTCTTTTTCCTTTTTCTTTATTAAGAATAAAATTTGTTTGTACTTTTGGACAAGAAGGAGAATTTTATTGTTATTTGGTTTGAGTATAATGACGTATTGAACAAATTTTTTTAGGCTCTAATTGTGATAGAATTGATCCAAAAAACCACCACTTCAAAGTAATTGGAAAAGTAATCACTTTCTGTAGTGTCAAAATTTGTGAAACTATTAAAAGCTACACAGCCTAAAGTTGAGGGATATTGATTATTATTACCTCTTAAAATGTTGTTTATATTACATAGGTAAAAAGTACTTTTATAACTTATAGTACTCCCTCCTCCGTTCCCAAATAAGTGTCATTCTAGAGTTTGCACACAGTTTAAGAAAACATTAAATAGGGTAACTAAATTACTAGAATATCCTCAACCAACCCCATTAAAATAAATGTTCACCAATAATATTATTCCTTTTGAGTGTATATTTGGAAATTTTTGACAAAAAATACATTGAAATCTGAAAACGACTCTTATTTTGGAATTTTTTCATTTTGCCAAAACGACACTTATTTTGGAATAGAGAGAGAACTATACTAATGGTTTTGGCATGTTATTTATTTGAGTTCCTACTTTAATCTAATCAAAAGCAAATCTTTCTTTTCAAGATTCCTAATTACTCTGTGATGTGTTTTAGAAAAGAGTAAATTCATGATCCTTTGATGCTCCGATGCTCGCTCCTGTCATTTTAATCTTTTTCGTTATAAATGTGTTTGGTTCAAATCCACTTGCATATATATTTTAAGTTGAAAATGTATATTAATCTAAAGTTTACCATTAGGTGGACAACATGTTCGGAAATGCAAATTCAGTACTCATTCAATTCCACCATATAAAACAAAAATACAATAATATTTTGGAAGGAAAAATACATTTTCATTTGTGAAATTTCGAATTCATAATTTTTTATTTATTTGCTCACATTATATGAATATATTGTTTTATTAGATATTTCAATAAAAATGTTTTAAATATTTTTTTTTTAAAAAAATGTCTTTTTGAAATTAGGTACTAACATAATACCAACATTGTACTACAATTACGTCATTATTATCTCCACTATCCACCACGACAAGCAATCCTACGACTGTAATTTTTTCTGGGGACAAATTGGTTTTTATTAGCTTCCTCTGCAGTTCTCTGCGTTTTGCTCCCCTTTTATATCAGATCAGTGTGGTTGCCCCCAAAATTGAAGCTTTTCTTTTTTTCCCCCCTTCCTAAACCTAAAGAGAAACCTCGGATTTTCCTCTTCTTTTCGTGGAAATGAGCTGAGCTGAGAAGAGAAAGCAGATTGCATTAACAGCTCCCAGCGGTCGAAGAGCTTGTTAATCTTACTATATCTACTCTCTCTTTTAGGGGGGTTTTCAAATTTCAAACCTTTTTGGTTTTCTTTGGAAAGGAAAGAAACATGGACGATTACACCAGAGAAATGATGGACCTCAAGACCCTTGTCACTCGAACCCTAGAGAAGAAAGGGGTCCTCGCCAAGATCCGGGTATCATTCTCCCCCTTTTCTGGGTTGTTTCTGTTTGTTTTTAATTTTAGGAAAGCAGGGGGTAATTCTCAGGGAAATTGCGTTGGCAACACTGTTCTTTTTTGCTTATAAATTTCGTGGAAAGCTAGGTCGCATATTTATTCTTGAACCCAGGACAGATCGGACTGCATTTCTCAGAAAATCACAACAACTAGAATGTTCCGACTTTTTCTGCGTTTGTGTCATTGTGTGGATTGGGTGGGGGAAAGTTGAGGGTAACATGAATTGTTGCTTTCAGAGCTGTGGATTGGGTTTGTCATTCTGTAATTTAATATGATGGTACACTCTCTTCAAGGGAGTAAAGAGGAGATAGTTAGCAGGCACCGTTGCTTCGGGAAAGTCTTTGTTCATGTAAATATACTGGAAAATGGGATAAACACAGAAAAAAAAAAAAAAAAACCAGTTGAAAATTTCATTTATTAGCTTGAAGTTGGAATCTTAATTTCTATTGCTCCTCTATAATAATTCTTACAAATGATCATAAAGTGCGATTATTTTTGAGGGGTTTGATGGACTTCCATGGCATATTTGGTTCTATTATTTCGAATGCTTATTTAGAGACTCAAAACATTTATTTGCATTGTAAATCAGCGATAATGCAAATCCATTATTTCAAAACTGATATTCTAGTAAGTTATACTGGTTATTGAAGATTCCAGTCAAGATGGTTGTAAAGAAAATGATAAGCGATAGCTCTTCCATGTAGTGCCTGTCCTTCGCAAGAAGAAAAAAGACTACTGTCATGGATATTTTTTCTTATATTCGATCTTCTGTTTTTACTAGGCTGAATTGAGGGCAAGTGTTTTCGAAGCAATCGAAGAGGAGGACCGGGCAATTGAAAAAGATGAAGGTTTGCCCCCTGCACTGTTGGGTAGCTGCAATGATCGAGCCAAGCAACTTCATAATTCTCCGTCAGGTTCGTTGAAAGTCATTTATATTCTTACTCTACTGTTATTGAACTGGACTGCTCGTTCGTTTGTTTGCTTTATGGTGGGTTTATATTTTGCCTTTTCTCATAGGGATTCACCTTGAAACTATTTATTCATTGTTGTTTGTATCTTTATTTTCTTTCCCTTGTGAAGGTGCTGTCTTCAAGTTTACAAAAGTAAATTTCATCAGTGTGTTACTGGTCCTATTTTATATGCTAATTTTGAAAACATTAGAATCTGCATCTTTGGAGAAAACTGTAGTATAAATTCTGTCAAGATGGACCTTCTCTATGTATTTGCTTCTTTGATAGTGATATTTTGACCCTAATGCAGGAAGATTACTAACTGCCCTGATCTGTGAATACTTGGATTGGGCTTCACTTAGCCACACATTAAAAGTGTACTTGCCTGAGTGTAATCTGGTAATTTTTATACTGTATTGTACATATTTTTCCCCCCATAATCTCCTTATTTCATTTATTTATTCAGTGTAATGTTTGAGTTGCAGGCAAAGGACTCGTGGAAGGCTGAACTGAAGGAATTCAGTAACAAGAATGGATATGATTTGAACAGAAATGAAAACAGTGGTCCTCTGCTTCTAGATGTTCTTGAAGGATTCTTGAAGTATGAGGTCAGATAAAGCTTCCAACTTACTACATGCATTTTTTGCATGGTTACTCTTTAGGATGTGTGGTTATTTTAAGTTTTAAGGATGGTTTACTCGAATTTCATGATTTGAAAATATTAGACGATGTCCTGGGTATAGATATTTGGAGTTCGTAGCTGTTGGATTGTTTTCATGGGTTTTGTATGTTTCTTTTTTTTTTTTGAACCCCAAAACCCCCACCCAACCTGGGTGGGATTTGATCTGTGGAACTCAAAGAGTTCACTCAGAGCCTTACAGCGCAGGCTGATATCATTTCCTCCGTATGTTGATGGTAATTTATAGCAAAGCATCTTTATCCCTTGACTCCATACCTGCTTTTCCCAACTTGTTTTTGGCTCTTGGTTCTTAAATCATGGACCTGATGCATCTCCTTTCAGAATTTGGCTCAAGCAAGGGGTCCAGCCAGAAGACCAACCACAGCAGATGCAGAATCCCTATCCGGCCTTGAGGGTAGAAATAGTAGGAGACCTTCTTCCTCATCTGTAGCCGGGGGATTACCTCCTCTTGGAAGGTGCTTTTCCTGAAAAAGAGAAAAAAACTATTATTGTACATTCCCTTCCCTTCTTTATGAATGCTCAAGTCTTTGGTCTTCCTCTTGCAGGCCAATTTCTACTTCACAGACATCTGGTAAGGGACAATTTAATTATTGATGATTTCTCTTAGATAAGCTGGGAACTTGTATTTGTCTGATTAGTTTGAGGTTTCAGATAGGAGAGCTGGGTCCTCTATGTCGGGATACAGGAAAGATGATTATAATTGGAGATATGATGGCGATGAGCTTCCAGAAGAGGTGGTTAGAGCATCTGCTGCCTTAGAGAACCTTCAGTTGGATAGGAAAGCTCGGAACCTCACTTCATCCTGGAGGTTTGTTTTTTCATTCTCCGTTGATTTCCCTGTTGTCCTTTTCGTGTGCTTAGACTGGAGTAAAATCATTTTGTTGGCTATTTCAACCAAGAACTCATTCTTATGAATTATCTGAAAGCTTGATTTGTTATCTTTTGTCTCTCTTCTCCTGGACTCCGCTCTTTTGTCTCATATTTAGGTTCGATTTTATTTGCCAACTTGTATGTTCATTCTCTGGTTCGAAAAGATCAATTGTGCATCTAAAATTCTGTGTCTTTAATGGTTTCTATTATTTTATTGTTATGAGAATATATTTGGTTATGTCCTGCCTCATATAGAAGTGTCTCCCAAGGAGCGGTTGCTTTTAGATTTATAACCCCAGGAGTGTTTTAATCTGCATCTTTTGTGTTTGTGCCATTTGTCTCACTATATTGTTTGCATCGGATGCAGGCGCGCAGGTGATGGGAGTTCTGATGATGTGGAAGGGTAGACCTAATGTAGCTGCTATGAGTCCTCTAAAATTTAGTAGGGGATTCTGCACCCATCCGAATTTGAGGTCATGGGATGGGTGGTATCATTCTGATGTATTGTAAGATTAACATTACGATGCCCATGTCTAGTAATTTGAGTGAGCTTGCTTTTGTTTGTGTTTTCCTTCCTTGATGTAATGGTTTGTCCATCCTGCATCCCATATGCATCCTTTTTAGTGCACTTAATCAATGATTTATTAGTTTTGTGTGTGTCTAGTTTCAAGTCTCTTGGGAAATTGTCGGGAAGGTGATCAGTGTATGCAATTTGGTAGTTTTGTTCGCAAAAGGTAGTTGTTTACATGTAGCTAATGAGAAGCTTATCAGCATAATTGTACTAAACAATTCTTTATTGAGTGCAATCCTCCGCAGGTTTTTAACAGTTCACTCTAATTGTATTTGACAACTATGACGTGTAACTAGGTTTAAGATTCAATATGCGTATTCTGTTGCTGGGAAATTACTTCGAGTTCGAGTCTGTTTGGCCAACCTTTCATTTTGTATTTTGTCTCATTTTACCTCTTAAACACAAAACTCAATGGAAAAGAAAACATCATCCAAACAACGGTCTGATTTACATTTTAAATTCTAATTTAAAAGACTTTTTGTTAGTATAATGACCATTTTAGAACTACAAATAATTCAGGGACAAATTTGGCAAGATACCATTGAGTGATTGTTTTTGGAAAAGTTCTTTTGACTATAATTGACAGTATTTAATTGTTTAGTGATGACTTGTACTTGATATTTTCAAAATGTAGTTCAAAATATTTTTTTTCAAAACCAATATTCAAATAACTTTTTGCTCAAAATACCATCCAAACAACATATTCATTTTCCATTTAGTTTTCAACTTGAAACCTATTACACTTAAAAGTGACAAAATGAAATGTAAGTTGAAGTCCAAACAAGCACGAATCTGTATCTTTGTAGCAGTGTAGATTAAATGGCAATTGAAGGTGTGGGTAGTTTAATTGTCACAGTGAGGTCTGGGTCTTCCATTTCCGGGTTGCCTTCCCCGCAAAGTATTCCACTGCTGCAATCTTCAGCGGGTTAACATCTTTGTTGCTGCTTATATAGTGTGCAAATTACAATGATAGCCGCAGGTACAACATTAGAAGTAACTGAGTGCAAGTGTTAAAGGTTTCCTTTTTAAGTGTAGGTAGTGATCTCACTAATCTCTGTGTTCTAGAATGGTACGGGTCAACGTTCTAAAACATCACTTTTGCAGACCATAAAATCAGAGTGACTTTGAATACATATACCATTAACAAAGACTTCAATCAAACAGTGCCTCTCGAGGACGGACAATACTTTTCCCCTATTCAAATGACCATCATTTGGTGTAACATGGAATATATTTTGCGATGCAATATTGAAATTTACTACTCTCTGTCCCCAAAATTAATATCCTAACATAAAAGGTGTCTTTTCATCAATTTTTAATGTTAACTCTTTTGTAGCCTAGAGCATTTTTTCATCATTTAAAATTTTTAACCTTTCTTTTCAAAAAGTAAGAGTAAAAAAAAGAAGAAGCAGGAATACAATATAGGAAATATATACACCGGTTTCAATTTTCAAGGTTTTACTTTGAACATTTCCGTGGCAGCTTCCACAGTCTGAAAACCACCGTCCAAACACAAACCTCTGACCATCTTACACGTTGCCCGCCAAACTCTGTCCCAAAAAAAATTCTGCCATCCCGATTGTTCTTCCTTCTTCGTGTTCCTAAAAATAAACCTGTAGAGAAGAACAGAGAAGCACCGAGGGAATCCACCAAATCTCTTTACTTTTTATTGCCACTCTCCTTTGTTGGATTCCATGGCGGTATTGAACCGCCTTATGTCAAGATGCAGGGCATCATCTTTAATTGGCTCGTATTCGAACTCCGTACGTAGATATTGCCTGAATACCATTGAAGGTGACGGCAAGTTGCCGTTAGTTTCGCCGTCCGCCGCGTCCTCTGTTCCTCATCCGGGTCCAATTGTGAAGCCCAATTCTACTGGTGGAAGAAGTGTACAGTGGGTCTTCCTTGGGTGTCCAGGTGTGGGCAAAGGCACCTATGCCGCTCGGCTTTCCAGCCTTCTGGGTGTCCCTCATATCTCCACTGGTGATCTCGTTCGCCATGAACTTTCCTCCCACGGCCCTCTTTCTTCAAAGGTCTCTCTTTTGTTCTTCCTTTTGTTTAGTTGGATATGTTTAAATTGGGTGTGAGAAATTTAAATCTTATTTTTATCCTTTTTTTGGTACTTTAGGAATAGGAAACAATTGAATGACATAGTAGATCGAGTTTAAGTGCAACAAAGTTTGGTCCTTTTTTATATGTTTTTAAGAATACTTGTTGATTATGTAATGGTAGTTGCAATAGAATTACCCTTTTCAGATAAGATCAGAAGGAAATGTTTTCTGATTAAGTTATGCCGGTTTTTAACTTGGCTCCGGAAGATTTAATAGATAGCAAACATTTGGAGTTTAGGCACTGGATTTTGGTCATTCAATGCATGCGGACTTGTCAATATGTATCAAGTCTTTAGTTTGGATGTTTGAGGCGCATATTTTCTGGATCATCTGAACTTTATAAGCTCTGGTAAATAACTAAATATCACTTTTTTTGTTGACACTAACTATAAATTGGTGTAATGATGCTGGAAGGATTTGATTAGTGATGTTAGTAGCTATCCGTTGCAGATACACCTGCTACTCATTTATGGAATAGTCACTTTCTTTTGTTGTTGAAGATACAAGAGCAAGAATGTATATTTTATATTCCCGGACAGTTTCATATCACCATTTAAACCATGTTTGCTGGAGTTTAAGAAAGGTTGGTTTAAGACCAATTAATCCTGATTTCAGCACTAAGAGTTGCTATTGGGGTGATTTAATTCTAGCAATGAAATTAAGGGAAGCTTTTGTGCTTTTTGATTCTGATATCAGAAAATACTAATTGCATTAGAGAATCTCTATAAAACCAAACTGGTTTCTGCAGATCATGCATTTGGTATTGGAATGTTCTAGATGGTTGGTTGAATTTGAGATTATTGGAGTTGGAGGATGAAATTTATGATCTGAATTGCAGCGGCCTTCACTGTGGCATGTATATTGGGCAAAAGCTTTAGCAACTTAGCAAGCTGTCGTAAATTTTAGTAGTTAGCTGTAGAAGTCTTGCATATCTGTGTATTTAGTTAATAAATCTTGTATTTGTCATCATCGAAACAGGTCTTAGAGATTTGTCATGTCATATCTACATCTTGCCCTATTTTTGTAGCACAAAATAAAGGGGCAGCCTGGTGCAATGAAGGTCTGACATGTCCAGGGTCGGGGAAGTGGACGGGGTATAAAGGTCTAATTTTATGCAGTCGTACTTTATATTTTTCATAAGAGGCTGTTTGAATGACTTGAATCCACGACCTCCAGTCTCGTGGCAAGCTCTTGTCTCTCGACCTAGGCTGCCTTCCTTTTATATTGCACAAAAGTAAGTGAAATTTGGATTTTTATTGCTTAGCATAGTTCATGATTGAAAATATGACTTATTAAAAGATTTCATGGTCCGTGGTTGAGTTATAATAGTACTATTTGGATGATTTGGATTGTGCCATGGAGAAATTTAGTTCACACCTACATTTGGGGATTTGGTAGAAGTTACATTGTGGTGAACTTTTCTGTTTGCTTGTATGGTGCTCTTTTTTTTTTTTTTTTTATTTCATTGTCTTGTTCTGGATTTGCAGCTTGGAGAAATTGTTAACCAAGGGAAGTTGATTTCAGATGAAACAATAATAGATCTGCTTTCTAAGCGGCTTGAAGCTGGAGAAGCAAAGGGTGAAAGTGGCTTTATTCTTGATGGCTTTCCTAGAACAATAAGACAGGCGGTGAGCTTCCTTTCTATCAATTTTGGCTTGTGAGTGATTTTCTTTCCCAATTAAATATCTGTAACGATGAAGCCAGATATTCCTTTTCATTGAAAATGAAATCTGTGTGTAGAATTTCCTTTGTGAGATACGCCCTGGAGAACTTTCAAGGTTATTAGGGGTTGTTTTAGTCTCAGATAGCCATTTGGAGTCTTTGTGAGACAAATTAGAATTGAAGTGTATGTAGCATGTTTACGAATACACTTAGCTCTGTGTAATGTCTCTATAGTGTTGAATATGAATTCCCAGTCTTGTTCCTTGTTTCTTAGTTTTTTCTCTTCTTAGCTGTCTGGCAATTCTGCGGTCTTCTTGTGCTCCTCAGCTGCATAATTAGTTTTTACTTTTGGAAATGATTGAAAGGTCAGTGAATTTAAAGAATTGATAACCATTAATTAGTTTAGGAAAAAATTGTTGCATTGAGTAACTTGACCTATATTCACTTGTTTTTCTTATATCAACTCTTCAATACCTTTTCTCTACTTGTTCATTCCAATTCGCCACCTCTCTGTCTCATTTTTCGACATGACTTGCGTCCATGCATGCGAAAGCAACTGAAATTTGTCCTAATAACTGGAGGTCCTGTCATACAAAATATAGAGTTGAAACAGATCTGATTCCATGACATGGCTATATCCCAAAGCATAACCGACTTCAACCTGAGGATTGCTGGACTTAGTAAGTTGCTTAAACATCGGAGCCGCCATAATTGTTTTTTGCATATTTCATTGCTTTTAGGTTCCACAGTTTAAGAAAAGCTTCAGAGGGATCGTGTTTACTCCCATTAGTTGTTTAATGTTATTCTGTGTTTGGTTATAATCAGGAAATTCTGGAGGGAGTAACAAATATTGACTTGGTGATTAATCTCAAGCTACGCGAAGAAGCTTTACTTGCCAAATGCCTTGGAAGAAGGATCTGTAGTGAGTGTGGAGGGAACTACAATGTTGCCTGCATTGACATTGAAGGTGAAAATGGAAGCCCACGAATGTATATGCCCCCACTTCTTCCTCCTCCAAATTGTGAATCAAAACTGATTACAAGGTCTGATGACACGGAAGAAGTTGTAAAAGAGCGCCTTCGCATCTATAATGAAATGGTATAGCTGTTTTAAACTTCCCCTGTTCTATTTGTGGTAGTTCTGTTAGAGCTTGTAAGAGCTGACAATGATCAGGAACCAAGTTTAATATGTGTTTTACTTGCAGAGTCGACCTGTAGAGGAGTTCTACCGGAGTCGTGGAAAACTATTAGAGTTTGATCTTCCGGGGGGAATCCCTGAATCCTGGCCCAAGTTGCTTCGAGCCTTGAATCTCGATGACCTTGAGGACAAAAAGTCATTGGCTGCTTGATCGCTCATTGTTTGGTAAGAGCTTTATTCCTGTCTGGTAGTGGTTTCTCTTTCACATGTTAAGTTACCTATTCTTTGCATATCTGGTGTACATGCACACTGGAATCAACCAGAGATATAGTTAGTTATATACATGTATTATTATTTCAAATGGTTTTTGTATTTCACATTTTACCATTATGAAGCATAATTTCCATGGTGGGGATTAATGAGGTTGGTTGAGGATAGTATTTGTACTGTTACGGACATACTGCAACGAATTATTGAAATGTAAAGTATAAAATGTGACTTCAGTAGTTTCATTACTGCAATCATTACTTATATTTCTGCAAGTTGCAATAGCACACAAATAGGGTTTTCATTGGTGAATTATGTCATGGGAAGCAAACGCGATACCTATGGTTAAGCACCATCCATCCTATGTTTAGATAACTAGTATTATGAAACGAAGGGGGAGAACCAGGGGGAGAAGCTGAAAACTACACCCCTTTCATAGTAGGAAGTGGGCGGTCTTAGTTGTAAAGGTCATCTGTTGAGCCTCAATTTTTGTCTACTTACTGGAGTGGTGTACCAAAAATATGGCTTCGGTTGAAGCTCTGTTGTAATAAGATGAGCTTGTTAACCCTATTCCTCAAGGAAGCTGTTTGGTACAAAGCCAAATGATCAACACTATTCAAATATTAACCTAGAAGACAAGACACAAATGAGGAAAGCAATCGATTTGCAGATTCAAACACGTAAATACAAGCAAAAAGGCAATAGCAAAATCAAACACGTTAACATAAGCAAAAAGGCAATAGCAAGTATGGCAGCCAGCACAACACAAAGGATACAAGTAACTGCTAGTGCATGCATAAAGTTCCCAATTTTAGTCCTGACTCCTGAAACATTTTCATAGTTTCATTTGTTGTACTCCCTCTGTTCCAAAATTATTGTTCACTTTGTCCAAAAATATTTGTCCAAAAATATTTGTCCAATTTGACTTTTATGGATCACGTTACACATGTATCCTTAGTAAAAAATATTATGTATAAAATCTTTGTGGTTAAATAATTACTTATGTAGGGGTGTATAAGATTGTTCAAGGAAAAATATAGTTAAGTTTGACTAAAAATAAAATCTTTCATTTTAGTAAAACTGGACAATAATTATGGGACGGAGGGGAGTACCATAGAGTATTCTAGTCTGAGGAACTGAATTATAAGGATGGGTATATTAGAGGAAATTGAAACGGGGTCATATGAAGTCATTCCGTTGAAAAAGAATTTTTTTTTTCTTTTTTTTATATACGAAGGAAAAAGAGTATTCTAGGCTTAGGATTTACAAAACATCCTATAGGTGTGGGATGATTGGATCATATCCGTTTCTAAGCTCTCTCTAATGCTAGATGGAGGTGTTAACAAATAAAAATATCCAGCCGGACAAGAAAAATCTAAATTTTATCAAAGTCATTTGCGACGGTATTACAAAAAAGAAGTTAAAAGCCCAAAGCTAGTCTCTTGGAGACTTGGACTCAAGGGAATCGCTATAAAAGATGATAATATGAAAATAGAAAGTCTTGAAACAGAAAATGGAAAAGTGAAGGGGGATGGCCACGTGAAATGCACGTGCAAAGCAGCATGATTGTATTTTTTTTAAATCCAATCAGATGGAGGCATTTGATTTTGACAGCAAGGTGTGATAAAGAAGTAGAGGATTCTCTCAGACGTGATGGACAACTCATTACTGCGGGCAGCAGCAGCTTATAGTTATAGGTAAACTTTACACAAAATGAAAAATTTTATTAATTACAGTAACATTAACACTGTAATTTTATTCACGGACATTGTTGTTGATTTAATTGTAGTAAAATTAACAATTAAAATTTTATTAATTGCAGTCAAATTAACAATATACTTTTATTAATTGCAATTAATAAAATATGGCTTCCATTAACAGTAAAATAGAAAGTTTTACTGCAATTAATAAAATTTTAAAAGTAATAGCTATTCTGTCTACGGAGAGGAGACTTCAATTAGTCCATATGGCCAGGAGATGATCGAGTTGGCGTAGGGCTGGGGCCTTGGCCAGTGCTTATCTTAGCCGGTAAGACCAGGCAAACAGACTAGCAAGGAAACCAGGCCGGAATCCAAACCACCACCCTGGCTGATACCATTCATCCGGGAGCTATACCATGTCAGCCAGCTACAGGATCAAAATCTCTATCCATCCTTAATTAAAATATCAATAATCAAGATGCATGGAAAAGTTTCACCCAACTCTCAAGCCTGTCTGGAATTCACAACTTATTGTGCATCATGTGGCCTCTTTTTCCCCTTAAACAATTCATCATAACGGGTACTTTTCCAGCCCAATGCACTTATTGTTGAGTTTTCCGACTGAACTCGGAATCGGAACCAATCTCAAATCATCGTATTTTAATTAAAAGAGAGAAGAAGGAGATAGAGCTTCCATGTATAATTTATGTAAACAAAAGCCAAATGTTTGATTCAGACAAAGGATTTACTCAGACATTGTCTGAGTACTCCAAACTATAAATTAAAACAAACTTAAAAGAAAAAAATTACCTTTAAAAACGTCTTCTATTCTTCAAACTTGAAAGATATATTTACTGAATGATTTCTTTACAAGGGAGAGAGAGAATTTCGAGAGAAAGGAAGAAGAAAAGAGAGAATACTTGGAGAGAATGATGCCCTCCAAATGAGCTTCTACCTTCTATTTATAGACATTTCTAAATACTATTTTACAAAAAATTATTAATTCTTGTCATTATTTGACATGTTTTTCTTCAGATTTGACTGATGGTGGGGTCCACTTGTATTAAATTTCAAAAGTAGATTCCCACTTTTGTCACTTCAATTTCAAAAGTAGATTCCCACTTTTGTCACTTCATTCTTTTCTTTCCTTTGTTGATTGAAATGTTTTTTGGATCTGTTGTAATGATTTTGATGAATTCATCGTGATCGTCATCTTTTTCGGTGACCGAGATTCTCCTACCAATATTGCAAAAGAATTTTCTTCATTTGAAGTTATGCTCTTCATCGAAACATCCGATTTTTCCGAAATATTATCATTGTCGAGATTCTTTAAATTTCTCATGAGATCTGCTTTAACTTCTTTCATATAGGCGGATATTATCTCTTCCTTATTAATTGCTCCTTGCTGAAGCTGAATCCGTTTTGTGATGTGTTTGAACGGACTTTCTTCATCTGGGTTTGCTTTGAGCTGCCCTTTGTCTTGAGTATATTCCTTGATTTTCTGGGCAATTTCGTCCAGCAAATCTCGTCCTTCCATTCTTTTGGTATTGTGATTCATCTTTGTTAATTTATCCCAAAATTTGGTATAATATGTCTTATAAAGACACGGAATTTGAAATTCATTGAATCCCACCTCAGGGACCCATTTATAAATCCAAGGAATCGAGAATTCAATAAAGAAGTATAACAGAGTGATTTTTCCTGGAGCACAGATATGACTGTGTTGAAGTTTATCAATGATAGGGGAGGATTTTAACCATTGATAATATAATTTTGAAAAATTATCGGCAAAATTTTTCTTTGTTGGGCCATATAATGCCCACCACTTGAATAAACCAATTGGGTATGGGAGAAGAATATACATGGGAGCATATTTTAATGAACCAAGTATGCTTTTTCTGGGTTTTCATAATAAAAGTTTTGTAAAAACTTTTAATATAATCCCAGTAAGTAAATTTCAAAGGAGGAGAAGTAGGAGTATTACGTACTTCTCTTCGAGAAAGGGTTGAAATTCCCATTCCTCGAAGATAAAATCTTTTGATAATAATTTTTGAGAAGTTATAAACTTCATTGTAGTCGATTAGACTGAAAATGTGTTATTTCACATGTTTGTTTGAGAATATTCTCATAATAATTTCGGGTTTGTATGACTCACCCGTATCATTACCCTTTCGCTAGATATCTTCGGAATATTACCCATGGATCATTTTTCCACCGAATATCGCGTTTTCAAGAAGGAATATTACCTCCTTTGTGGATCCTTTTTCATATGACCGGATATCATCCTGGTCAGTGTCACTTACTTTGGCAGCAAAGGTATCACTTTGTTGCTCTTGGATATGATCCATAATCTGCTTATATAATGCAGAATCATTCTGAATAAAATCCATTATTTGGACCAATTTCGCATTCGATGAGGAGGATTCCTCCTGAGATTTTGAAAAATCAGCAGCTATTAGCTTTTTATTCCCATGTTGTATTACAAGGTTTATTGTTCTTCCTCCACGACCTCTATTAGGGCCGCGTCCTCTATCGGGCGGATACATAATCCTGTAAAATTAGAGAATTATTAATGATAATTTTGCTTTACAATAATTCAACCTTTCTTCACTTTCAGTTAATCTTTCAGTGAAGTCTTCTATCATGTCATAGACAAATTCAAGGTCTTCTGAAACAGATGTTATCTGTTGTGGTGAAGTAAATTCATCAGCACAATCAAGAATTGTATTACGAACTCGTAAAAAGTGATTTAGTCTATGCTTCGCAAAAATATATTCCATTCTACAATGCTTATATTCAGCAACAATCTTATTATAAGCAATATGTATTACGGATAGTGGTTTAAGATAATTAACTTGTGGCCACTCCATCCTGCAAATATTCACGTGATAAAAAATCAGGTAAAGAATTATCACTACCTTTTTTATATAAAATTTCAAAATCAAAAGGGGCTAAATTAGCCTGCCATCGAGCATATATTTGCTTTGAAGAATCATGCTTATAATCTTTATAAATCATGTGTTTAACAGCAAGTGCATCGGTGTGAATGACAAACGATCGATTAAATAAATCATCTTGGAATTTTAATACACATTTTACAATAGCAAGAAATTCTTGTGCAATGATTGCATATTTCTTTTGAGGTTCTCGTCCATTTACCGAATGATATCTAATAAGATATTCATTATTATCATGAGGGTTAATCTGTTTCAAGATTCCACCGAATCCTATGCTACTAGCATCAGTTTCTATTATCTTTTTCCAATTTGGATTTGCTAATGTTAAACATGGTAAAGTTTTTACTTTTTCTTTTATTTGCTTAACTAATTTAGTATGCTTTTCTGTCCAATCAAATTTAATTGATTTTTTAAGCAAACCATATAGAATTGCTAAATCTTTCTGTAAATTCTTATAATATGGTGAAATATAATTTAAACTTCCTAGAAATCTCTGGAGTTGAATTTTCTCAGTGAAAACATCAGGAAATTTAGAAGAAAATTCAATTGATCGTTGAATAGGGGTTATTTTCCCTTGACTTATTTGATGACCAAGAAATCTTATATTATGTTGAAACAAAAGCATCTTTGGTTTAGATATTACTAAGCCATTCCGTAAAATAACATCCTTTAATATATTAAGATGTTTAAAATGTTGTTCAATATTATCAGAGAATACTAAGATATCATCAATGTAAACAATTATAAAATCCATATAATGAATAAATATATCATTCATGATTTTCTGAAATTCAGAAGGAGCATTTTTTAATCCGAATGGCATCACATTCCATTCAAATTGTCCTATAGGCACATTAAAAGCAGTTCTATAAGTATGCTCATGATTTATTTGAATTTGCCAATATCCAGATTTTAAATCGAATTTAGAAAATATGTTGGCATTATATAATTTTGATAATAAATCCTTTTTATTAGGTATAGGATATCTTATCCATTTTAAAACTTTATTAAGTGGCTTATAGTTTATTACTAATCTCGGGACGCGCGTTCTTTTCAAATGCATTATTAACATAAAATGCGATACATGACCAGGAGATTGTGAAGGTTTTATTAAACCCTTTTGAAGCAAAGAATGTAATTCTTCTTTACATAAATTCATATATACAGAATTCATTTGACATGGTCTTGCCTTAGTAGGAATATCC